AAGTACACGCCGTAGCGATATCCCGGGCCGGGAGCCGGAGGAGCCGCCTGCGATCGAGGTTGAGGGCGACGAGGAGTACGAGGTGGAGCAGATCAAGGATTCGAGAATCTTCCGGCGTCAACTGCAGTACCTCGTCAAGTGGAAGGGGTATGACGACTCGCATACGTCATGGGAACCGGCGTGCAACGTTGCGAATGCGCCGGCCCTCATAGCCGACTTCCACCGGAAGAATCCGAACGCCCCTCGTCGCCTCAACGCTGTCACCTTTGGCGGTCTCAACTTTCAGCCGATGCCGTCGCCGCTGACTGAAGCACACTGCCGCTCCGGGTGGGAGATGGGCAAGGGCGCCTCACATGAGGTCATGCGCCGTTGAGGGGGGGGTAATGTCACGAGTTGGCACGGCGCCTAGCCGTTTTTTAATTTTTCCTTTTCACGGGCTCGAACCCGCGACCTCTGTACTACTTGCCTGATACGGACACATCATATCTACTGTACGATTAGATTAGATGGGGCGGCAGTGCGCGGCACAGCTTGGGCTCCGCTGACACAGCCTCTCTGACTCACCGGCCCCTGGGGCCGCGTCAGCATGCTGTGCACGGACCAGCTGCGCACGGACCAGCGCGCACAGCCTGCCCTTATCTCCCCATGTATATAAGCCGGCCTCTGCTGCCCTAGGGACCTCAGTTTCGACCTCTTGTCCCTAGGTCAGTAAGCATCCTTTGTATTCCTTTTCTTACCTCACTAATATATTATCTTGTCCCTAGCCTTAGGTTTGAGCGTTGCTCACCATCGCTTCAGTGAGAATCAGTCGGACGTCCCCAGCTTTCAGGTTTTCTCCAGTCGCTTGACCTCAAGTCGCGACAGGCCCCCCCTCTTGATGGCCAGGTAACACTTCGTCACATCAATGTGATGATGCCGGTTCAGAGGTCCGCTCGGCTCACAGGGCCGGGGCCTGAACTCTTGTTCAGTGGCGTGTGGCTCCTCAGCGATTGACAGGTCCATTTTATAACTCCACTCGCGTCTGTTGTGGCCATCGTGCTCTCGGGCATGACATTGCCATTAAACCCCTCGAAAGAAGGGACTCCTCGACGACTCATCCATTCGTTCTGATTCCACTTGGAGGTGAGAGCAGGCATACAGAAATGTAGGTGTCCGTATAATTGCGAGGGCAGAGGAGTGCGCGGTTGTTGCGCCATCACAAACCTGGCCATCCAGAAGGGGGGGGGGGGCATCCACTGGTAAACCATAGTAACAGTGGGTTGAGGAGCCAGTGGTGTATGATGTCTAGAGCAGGCTCTGGGGAGGCGGATTACTGCTTAATCCCTCTCTTGTCATACCCCCTTGCTTTATCCTAGTGATGTAGTTCTCGAATAGGTGTCCGCCACCCTCGACGTATTGGAGACCGGCGGGGTCCTGCGGCTGGCCTACTTACCCTGTTCTGTCAGGCACCAATGAGCGCGTGCTGCCGCACCACTCTCCAAATGTTAAGGCTAGTGGCTCTATGCAGACATACTTGATACGCCACGAAATCAGGTCATTCTGCAGGAAGGAATGTGGCGACCTATGTGATGGGAAACAGAGCGCATGAAATAATGCTCGCAAGTTGACGTTGAGGACAATGCACGTACTCACATGGTGACTTCGTACATTTGCTAAAGATTTGCCACGCCGACAAGCAGCATTCTCTCCAGTCTGTTCCATTTGTCCTCGATTTCGAGTACGACGGGTCACCTGAGGCTAACTGTGATCTGTAGTTTGAGAATAACGGGGCCTGATCCCCTTTCCTTTTGTCGCTGCGGCCCTGAGATGAGCACATGTGCAGCTTCGGAGCTCATAATTTCTGGATTGTGCAATGAGACGAACTTCTCGTTACGAACCTTACGTGGAATACCGGCATTCTCCAATGTTATCGTAAGGGGAAACACCTCTGTATCAGACGTGGTGATCTGATTGGCCGCATATGCCTTCGACCTCAATGTCTGCATCTACCCATGTAGAGGGACAACTTAGATTAGGATGAGACTTCAGCTGTGTGCCAAAGCACTACCCCTGGGAATCAAACTTCGACAGGCAACCGTGCTCGAATCGCGATCTCGCTATCGCGGATGAACAGACAGAAGGGATTCCGCCTGTCCTTCTTAGCCCCGTATGTATTGTGACTGATAAGAAGAGTGCGTCATCCGTGAGTCAGCCTTTGATTCTTTGAGGAAAAGAGGCTCGATAGGCCTGGACAAAGCTCACCCTTGTGATGGTTCCTTGAAGCCCCTGTGGCGGGGTACCGGACCATTTACGTTTCGAGAATATTTCCGTTAAAGGCTTATTCGCGAGACGGAAACATCATAATACGGAGGCGGAAATTCCGGTGACTGTACAATTGACGTAGAACCGGCACATCGCTGAGGCACGTGTTGTTCAGTTAATGGACGTCGTGTGCGCGAGCTGCTGTCTCGCGGGCAGGTCTCCCAGTGACCAAATCAGCTACCAACACTTTGTTCTGATTATCCTGGCGTACTGATAATTGGTTCTAATGGTATGATACCGTCAGGCACCAGTTATCGAGATGAAAGTAGCTCCGACCGTCGCAAGCAGTCAGCTAGCAGAGTTGGATGGATAACAGGCTGTTGACTGTATCTCGAGGGACGGGCATACAGTCGCAGTGTTAGCTGCGCGATAAGACAATGGCCGAAAGGATCACTACGAATGGTATCGACCCGATCGCCCTCGATCCCCGGATCAATAACCTCGGTCTCTATACGCGATCGACAGATCGAGTCAAGCGATGGTTTGTCTCTTTCCTACAGTCAACGCTTGACTGCATTCACCATTGCGGCACCGCTTACACTGCATGTTGCTCAACTGCCGACTTGTCGTCTTTCTGATGCGCGATGTCGCGTGATCACAACATCGCTTCGGGAAATTGACGGCGATTAGAAGGCATGCGACCTCCACACAGCGCTTGTCTTCCCTGAAGGTCCACATGGTCGATAACACCCTGCACCTGCCGTTTGCACGAAGATTGCAGACAGCAAGGTCGACGAGGCCCCACCGAGTATATATGGATGTTCAAAGGACCTAACGTATCTGAGGGACGGCGATGGCAGTGATAAGTGATTCCACTCGCGCCTACCTGCCGTAATATGCCGTCTGATATGCTATGTTGGGAACCGAAGTCAGTGGGGGCGCCCTTATCGCTTCTCGCTTCGCGTATAAAACCTACGCTGGACGCAATGTGCACTGACGCTGTCGGCTCCCCTCTTCTCCAGAATGGCCTCCGTCGGTCCAGATAAGGTCCTTACCGCGACCCACGACAAGACCGTGATGGAGGAGATTCAGAGGGACAGCATATCTGATGAGAAGAAGTCCTTCTCGGAGCAGGTCCTCGAGGCGTCGTCCATCGCGTATGAAGACGACGAGGAGCTCGTCGACTTCGGCACTGACGATCCCTTCCCGGTCGACCCCAACGCCCAAGAAGAGCAGCAGTTCACCTTCCGCGCTGTCTTTATCGGTTGTGCGCTTGGTGCAGTCATTTCGGCCAGCAAGTGAGTGCTCGGATCATCTGCATGCCGCCTTTCTGATCGCGTAATTGCGTGTTAGCGTCTACCTGGGTCTCAAGACAGGATGGACATTCGGCGCATCAATGTTCGGCTCCATCTTCGGGTTTGCCATCCTCAAACCGATGTCGAAGGCGTTGCCGGAGCGGTTCGGAGGCGGGTACTTTGGTCCTAAGGAGAATGTATGTTGTCAGAGTGCAGCCACGGTGCGTACATTCACTTTTGATCGCGCACACTCACCTCATAAGGCCGTGTGCAGGCTGCAGGATCGCTGGGACTACTCTTTAGCTCTGGTTTCCCCGCTGCCTACCAGCTTGGATTGCTCGGAAATGATCCTTCTGCAGACTTTGGGTGAGTCTTGCAACTCTCGGCCCTAGTCTCATTGCCAGGGGCGTACCTGCGTCGCGCCGGGATCGGAAAACTTAATATAAGCGCGAGGCACTTATGAAAATCGAGGGGTCAGCTGTACCTAAGACCGTGACGTTGCATTGTACAGCGTTGTCGCTTGTGACAAGCTGTCACTATGCAACCCGCCTCGCATTGGATTGCATTTCACGAGATTATGCGAGCTTGCGACTCGCCTTGCATCCCTTCGTAAAACGTAGTGGAAGTCTTGCAAAACCTAGCGCTGTCGGCGAGCTGACCTCGCAGCTGGCATGGCAAGTTTTGCTAGTCAACCGGCCTCCTGGGCCCTTGCTTGCTAGAGGAGGGCTCTCCACTCCCTAATCGTCGCTTTCAGTTCAAGTGTTTCTTTGAACATATTTGCTCCCCCCGAGGCTCGAGTTGTCTGCTCATTCCTCTCAAGTTGCGCGCCTAAGTCGTCTTCATAGTAATCTTCACGGGTCGTGACATTTCTTGGAGATTGCCAGATCTGCATGAAAAGGCATCACCGCTACCCTGACCGTATTCCGTGTTGAACTCGCCAACTCAGGTTGTGTCCTTGATCGAGAGCTCTGATTGGATCTGAGGCGTTGGCCTACCCATGGGCGGTGGTCATCTCCCTTGACTCGCAGTTTGGCTCGCAATTCGCAACGCTACGTGATCACTAGAACTTCAGTTAGGGTTAGCGGATGAACCTGAAACCCCACGTACTACGGAGCGCGAATGCGCATCGTGCTATATTCACTGTCACATTCTCTAGAATCGACACTATCTCGACTGTCGCAAATATGTTATACATGTTCTGACTGCCCATTACCCAGGCGTATCATCACATTCACGATCACCTGTGCCTACGTCGGCATCTTCTTCACCATGCCCCTCCGTCGGCTGTACATTCTCAAGCTCAAGCTCACCTTCCCGAGCTCCGTTGCGACGGCCTACACCATCCGCTCGCTCCATGTCGGCGTAAACGCCGCCGAGGTCGCGCGCAAAAAGACGTGGGCGCTGGCCATTTCATTCTTGATCTCCATCATTTGGCGTGTCACCTCCGAGTACGCTCCCGGTATCATGTGGGATTGGCACTGGTCATGGTGGTTCTACCGCGCAGGCTGGAAGTGGATCATCTGCGCTGAGAGTTGGGTACGCGTGTTCCCCTCCACCTGTCCGCGCATGCTGATCCAGATCCTTGCCCACGCAGGGCTGGATCTGGGAGTGGACGCCCGCGTTTATCGGCGTAGGTCTGCTCGTTCCTATGAACAGTTCCGTTTCCTTCGTCAGTGGTGCTGCGCTCGCATGGGCAATCATCGGGCCTGCGCTAGTTACGACAGGCAAGGCGTTCGGCGTCGCGATGTCCTCGCAGTACCCCGGGTACATGAACTACGCGAACATGGTGCTCGACGACCCAGTACATGCCCCATCGCCCGAGTACTGGATGATCTGGCCGGGGTGCATGCTCCTTCTCAGCTCGAGCGTTGCCGAGATCGGCGCCAACTACCGCACGGTCGCGACCGCGTTTTCGGTCATGTTCCAGCCAGCGCTCGCGCGCTTGCGGCGTTTCCGCGGGAAGGGCGGGGAGGACGGTAAGGAGAGCGTGGTGCTGAACAAGGAGGACGGGTTCTACGATCCCGTGCCGCCAGAGGAGCAGACGCCGTGGTGGCTGTGGGTCGGCGGGCTCATTGCGAGCTCGATCATGACGATGTGTGTGATGAAGTACCAATTTGGCCAGAACGCGGGTGTCACGCTGCTCGCGATCGTATTTGCGTTCATCTTCTCGCTCGTCGGCGCCGAGTGCGTCGGGCGCGTGTCCGTCAACCCCGTCACGACGCTCGGCAACTTCTCTCAGCTGGTACGTTGCGCATTGTTATACGTGACATGATGGAGCTCGATGACTGACGCGCACACAGATCTTCGGCGGTATCTCGAAGGGCTCTGGTATGGCCGCGACGACAAACCAGCTCAACAACGGGCTCACGGGAATGATTACCCTCGCCGCGGCGGAGCAGTGCTCGGACATGCTCGGCGACCTCAAGACGACGCATCTGCTCGGGGCATCGCCACGCGTACAACTCTACGCGCAATGCGTTGGCGCACTTGTGTCGATCTTCCTCTCGTCCGCGATGTACGTCGTCTTCTCGACGGCGTACCCATGCATCAACACGCTCTCGACCACGCGCTGCTCGTTCCCCGCGCCCGACGTGGCCTCGTGGCGTGCAGTGTCGTTGGCCGTGTCGGAGCCCGCGCTCCCGATCCCGCTCTCGGCTGGGATCACTGCGCTCGTGCTCGGCGGGATGGTCATCGTCTCGACCATCGTCAAGTACCGCTTCGTGCCCCCGGCCAAGCACCACTTGTTCCCGAACTGGAACGCGGTGGGCATCGCTTTTGTGCTCGGGCCGTCGAACACGTACCCCGTCGCGATGATGTTCGGGAGCCTCATCGCACTCGTGTGGCGTAAGCGCTTCGGGGGCAACTGGCTGATGTATGGATATGCGGTCGCGGCGGGGATGATTGCGGGCGAGGGCCTTGGTGGTATCGTCAATGCGGCGCTGGAGATTGGCAAGGTTTCAGGCTTACTGTACGGTACTAGCGTGGGATGCCCGATGGGCGAGTATTGTGGGTGAACGCATATCGTTACGCACAGAAATATTTAGACTCTGTTTGTTGTATACTATGATGACGGCGATGAATAGACGCTCGCATGATGCGGCTCCTATGTTTGTGGGTTGTCTGAGACAATGTCGACTCGAGATGAGAAGCACGCAGCTTACTTGTATTCACTGTGTCCACTGTCGGCATTGCATTGCCACAACCGACAATGACGAGCGTCACTTCAATTTGATTTACCTCCGGTAAACGGGGCACTGATTGGGCGGCCCGAGTGCCCCCGAGTGCTCGCAGCAGCCGAAAACAGCCGCCTCTAGATTGAGCTCGCCTTCGATCTGATCCAAAACCTATTCATATGATCAAGCATGCGACCGCCGTGAGTACTGTCAGGATTCCGCAATGACGCATGCTCAAGGATAATCTAGTTAGCATCTCCGAGCACGCGCTCAACGTTCACCGGCCCGCCTGGTGCTGCCCCAGGAGACTCGCCTTGGCCTGACTGCTGCGACCACGCCCTGGAATGCTCTGGCCTGTTCATGACGGTCCATTTGCTCACAATAGCTGCCAGCAACGACGAGGCTCCGATCGCGGTGCATGCTCTAGTATCCCCTCGCGGCATTGCCTGCTCGATATAAACGCACTCTTTCCGAAAGCTGCATTCCGACTTCTTCTCCTTGTACTCAATCATCGCACGGCGAAATGTGGGCAATAGGCCCGCCGCGATCAGTTGCAATCCAGACTGACATCCCATCTACCTCAGGTTTCGGACTGCACTGACCACTGGAACCGTCAGGGTTTTGACCATGTCGCCAGGCCAGACCAGAATGGCTTCGCCTATGGCAAGTACATACTTCCTGATTCCCGAAACTTGTATACGCATACCCGCTTCCAGTCGCGACAGATTCTCCGAAGCATGGCGACTATGAAAGCTTTGGTCTACCATGGACAAGACCACTTTGGCATCGTCGAGCGCCCCAAACCTCAAGTCACTGCCGCCACAGATGCAGTCGTTAAGCTTTCGAAAACGACAATCTGTGGTATGCACATAGTACTTCTCCCGCGAAGCTTCGACTGAGATCTGGCATTTGACGGACGTAGGCACAGATCTTCATATTCTCAAGGGTGACGTACCCAGCGTGCAGCATGGCCGCATCTTGGGGCACGAGGGTCTCGGCACCATCGAGTCCGTGGGGTCCGGTGTGTCCTCCTTCAAGCTCGGAGACCGCGTAATCATCTCCTGCATCACCGCTTGCGGCGCATGCCATTACTGCTGGCGCGGCATGCCCTCTCACTGTACCTCGGGTGGCTGGATCCTTGGCAACACCATCGACGGCACCCAGGCAGAGTACGTGCGCATCCCGCACGCCGACACGAGCCTGCACCACATCCCCTCCGCCACGGACACAGCTGTTGACGAGGACGCGCTCGTCATGATCAGCGACATCCTCCCCACTGCGCTGGAGTGTGGCACGATGAACGGCCGCATAACGCCAGGCGCGAGCGTCGCAGTCGTTGGGGCGGGCCCCGTCGGGCTTGCAGCGGTCCTCACCGCACAGCTTTACTCGCCCGTGCTCGTCATTGTCATTGACCGCGATCCCGCGCGGCTCGCGGTCGCGCAGCGCCTCGGCGCGACACATATCATCCATGCTGGTGCAGATGGCGATGTCGTGCGGCGCGTGCTGGAAATCACGGACGGGAGAGGGGTGGACACGGCGATCGAGGCGGTGGGTATCGCGCAGACGTTTGAGCTGTGCCAGGACCTGATCGGCGTGGGTGGCACAATCGCCAACGTGGGTGTGCACGGGGGCAAGGCCGACCTACATCTTGAGAAGCTGTGGGATAGAAATGTCGGTGAGTACATTTCACCCCGAGGTGACCTATCGTTCGCGTCGCCGAACCACGTACTTGCAGCTATCACGACGCGTCTGGTGGACGCGGTGACATCCCCGATGCTCGTCGAGCTTCTCGCGGCAGGTAAGCTAGACGCGAAGGCGCTCGCGACTCATTCGTTCAAGTTCAGCGACGTCGAGAAAGCATATGCAGCGTTTGGGGATGCGGGCACGAGCCAAGCACTCAAGGTTATTATCAACTTTGATTGAATCGAGATCGTGGAGTAAGGGTGCATGTCGTTCAGGTTGTATGTTCATTCGGACGACTGTATCAGAGAGCCCAGTCTGTATCATTATTGTACCATTCTCGTAGACTATCTGAATTATTGAAAGCACTCAGCAGAATTGGCATTAGCGAACCTTGTAGGCGTCCAATCTGCTCCCATCTCGATATGTTGACGCGTCAGTATCACGTGACATCTCCTAAGGTCGCGTCGAAAAACGCCCTAAGCATAAGCAATGGGCAGCTCACAAGTCGCGAGAAGCTACCGGTCAGCCTGAGCTTGCCAGTGCCTCGTGCAACCCGAATGTGGATACACCCTGTTGCGACGGCGTTCCTACCGTAGTACCATCACCCCGGTCGACAGCATGGCAATTGCGTCCACAAGGACTCCAACCTTGACAGCCGTGCAAGATCACGAGCGTCGACTTGGCGGTACGCCCCAGTCATGCCTTGCTGCGCCATCATACTACGGTATCTATCTCTACTCACAATTGCCAGAACGGTGGCACGAGGGCATTGTCGGGCGACAATCAGACTCGGAGACGACCGAAAATGGTGCCCACCGCACCGATAAATACCCCCTGCGCTCAAACACGACGAGAGGTAAGGCACACAGGCAGTCGCCGCTATGCAGAACTCGATCGCATCTCAATCAACACTGACCAGTGGAGTATGTCCCCAGCCCATCTCGTGTAACTTCCCTTGTGACGCAGACTGTATCACAGCACGGGACGAGGTTCCTGGATCTGAACGATGATGTCCTTGCGATGATCATCTCTGAATTCACCACCAAGGATTCCCTTCAGCTGTCTCTCGTCGCGCGGCGGGTCCACCTAGTTGCAAAACGTCAGGCACTGTCCTCGGTGACAATGGAGTCGGCACAGACGGTCATTCGCATCTGCAGATACATGCTCGAGGATGTGGTCGGCCGCTTGCGGTGGATCCGGCGGTTGTCGGTGTCCGTCTGGATCCCAGCCAAAGGAAGTGGCCGTTATGGATGGTTGCTGAACAGGAACGTGGAGATTCAAGCACCGATGGCTATAGGTCTCCTCGTGTCACTCTTGGAGCAAGCACATGGGCTGCAGTATCTCCATGTCGGGAATGTCGACAACAACCTCGAGTTCGACCACGCACTCCTTGACGCTATATGTGCGCTCCCAAACCTGGTTGAGCTGGAGCTGCTGCGCGGAGGGCGATCCGAGACCTTGAAGCTGCTTGATGGACTGCGAAGCCGGCCTCGCAGCCTCATGCTGGATGTACAACTAGTTAACGCAGAAAAGGATGCAATAATTTCCCGGACCGGGAGGTTCCAGGAGCTTCGTGTGCTAGGACTCGGTGGAATGTACATGCAACGGTCTCGTTTTTACAAAAATACGACGCGCTTGATGCACGGCCTGCACCATACATGGCCTAATGTCACCGACCTCACCATTACACGTTGCGATATCGAGCTTCCTGCGGTCCTCCATGCCTTCCCAAATCTGCGCGCCCTGACATTCACGGAGTGGGTCAACGGCCCGCGCTCGGCAGTACACGATAGGCTGACGTATTCCGTCCCATCGCAGGGGCCCGCCTGTCTCGAATACGTCGAGGGTAGTGGATACCTGTTTGAGGACTGGCCCGCTGAGCGCCCTGTATATCACATTCTCATCCAATCCGTACTCGCAATTCCAAGTCAAACGGCAATGGGCGGGGAGACGCGCTGTGGCGACCCTGAAATCCCGATCCTGCTGGAGATGGCGCGCAATGCTGAACCGGTCATACTCACTTTCCGCATCATGGCATTCGAATCGCTGCATGAGTCCTTCTGGAAGAGGCTGGCAGCCGAGGCGACGAGACTGCGATGCCTCGAGGTCGGTTTGTTTGAATTCAGAGAAACAAAGGGCCTCACATCATTATTCCAGGGCTGGATGGTAAGCAGAATACTCTGTGACAGTGTGCATACACTGTTGAATATGCGCATTCCACAGACCAACGTCCCGTCAAGTCTTTCGCCTATCACGTCGCTCTTGTACCTCGAAATTGCCATCGATGTCAGCACGTCATGGTTCACCTCATGCGTAATGGATGAGACGCCGGAGCCTGTTGACCTTGATTGTAGTGAGGCGTACGCGGAACGGCTGGCATCGCTCGTCATTATGCAGATCCCCTCTCTTCGTTACCTCTCTCTTGGGTTTGGCTCCATGGCGTCACATTTACCCACCCCTCACATACAGCCATTTGCTGGCAGGATGCGGATGTGGAAGGTGGAGGGTACTGGTGGAGAGCGTGCACTCTGTCCTGTCCCTTCAACCATTGCTCAACGACTCAAGGTGCTGCTGAAATCCCCCGATTATGACCCTCTCCAAGAGAGTGATGGTGCGTCGTTTTTGATCTCATGTCTGCATTCTCATCTTAATTGCGTTGATATGTCGCACAGTACTGGACTCTAGTCAGTGAAGAGTGCTGAAGAAGCCGCTTGCCACCTCGAGGGCCGGAGGAGCAGAAAGTACAGCATGTAGCTTACGTATCGTTGAAGCGAGAGCGACAGTGACGTCGACAGGCGTTTCTCAATACGGCGCGCCCAGGATGCGAGTACAGGACTGAGCGTGTGCTACACAATTTGGCGAGTATAAATTCGAAATACCTGGCCAGTGTTTGGCCGACGAAGAGTGAGGGTAGGGCTGGGCAGGAAACAATCCAAGCTGAATATGGAAGTACCATACAAGACGGTAGGCGAGAGTGTGCTAAGCGAGCACGGGCATGCGCTCCACGCGATAGGCAGAATAGGTCGCAGGCAGGATAACGTACGGATTGTGATTTCAAGACATATATAACCTATACTAGGATCTGATTGATCTATTGTCTAATCGTCAAAAATCTATAATGAACATTGTTCATTGTGTGACGCTGGACTCATACGTGCAGAGGACCTTGATGTAAGTCAAACAATAAACACAGGGGCAAACGCTACGCTTCGATCGGGTCACAGTGCTACGACTGGTGGTCGACTAGTGACTAGTCGCATCGTCATTGACACTCAAGGACACTACTCAATGTTTCGTTTCCATCTCTACGTGCGTGCAGATGAAAAAAAGAGCTACTGATCTGAGACGGGGTTAGTACTGTCGATCCGGCGCATGAAAAACAATGGGCTGCTGGTCATGTTCCACCTGCACTGTCACTGCAGCACTTGTGCTAGTACACTATGCTTCAATATCCATTCACGAGTCTACTTTACTACAGATCATGTCTCCTGATGTTACATCCATTCCCTACAAGAGGCTCTAAAATGACTGTCTGACAGCAGGTTCGTCTGCAACGGGCAAGCAATAAACGCTACTAATATGTCGAGTGGAAGCAGACGCCAATAGCAGCAGGCCAAAAGATTTGTCTCGTACGCATCCAATTTTATTTGCTGTTGGTGTCCGCGTGCCCAATGACCCTTCTTGCAGGCTTTCCATATACTCCACTATGGCTGCCATCGCACCCTCCCCCCAACTTGATCAACGATAGCTTCTTGTTTGCAGATGGGATACTGTCGGTTGCCTTGTACTCAGCCAAGCGATATGCCGTGAGCGTGCAGGGTCAACAAATGAATAGTGCAGCGTCAGGTACGGGATGAACGAGAAAATATGGGTATCAAAACCGTGAATGCGGTAGTCAGGACAAAAGCATACCGGTGAGGAGCAGCAAAGGTGAAGTATTCACCTATAGTGATTTAATCGACCCCATCTTCTGACCTGTCCAGACCCTCGTCCTCCGAGTCGGCTTCCCTGTCCTCCTGGTCGTTCTCTCCCAGGCTACACCACTCCTCCTGCTGTAGATCCTCGCCGCTTGGACTCCCGCTCGAAACACTGTTCGTCGAGTCATCCTTGCCACTCTGAAGCGCTGCTCGCTTCTCCAGCCCCCGCAAATACTTCGTACACGCCGCCGGCATCTCCATGCAATGCCGCCTCAACGCATCCTTGCGATTGAATCCTCTCCCGCAACTGTCGCAGAAGTGCTGCGCAGGCGCTTTCTTCTCACCTGGGCCAGCGCAGATGTCCATGTGACGTCTCAGGTCAAACGACCGACTGAAGCTCTTCTCGCACATAGGCTGCGAACAGCAGTACTTCTTGACCGCCCGGGGCTTCTTCCGTCCTCGCCTGCTTCTCTTTGGCCCGTCGTCCGCGCACACACCGTTGGGACTGTCAGAGAGCCTCCCGCGTGCGTGCTGGGCCTGGGCCTTGCGCTTTCGAGACGAGGGGCGAGGCCTGTGAACGGAGGCATCTCCGTCGACGTTGTCATCATCTGCGTACGTGACTTTACCCCTCGAGCGTAGATATCGCTGAGGTTTCCGTCTAGGTGACCGCGGAGGTGTTGATCTCTTGGTATTCGGAGTCTCCTGTGCCCGCCCATGTGATCGAGTGATTCGTGGGCTCGCAGGCGGCGAGTACTCAGTCCGAGATCCGTCTGTGCCAATCGCCTTGTTCGCATCTGACGGGTTGCCATTGTTGTCACTACCTGGGGTCCTATTCATGCAAGGGCTATCGTGCCGCTCACAGCCTCTTGTTGGATCTGTCGCATGTACGTCCACCGGGGAGGCAGATCGTATACTAGTTGTACCCGGGATAGACATGGGTGGTGTCGTCGTCTCGTTGTGGCAGCTTTTCCCGTCATCGTGCGGCGAGGGAATATGTGTGGAGCACAATGTCGACGGCTCTGCAAGCGGATGGGAGTGCGGCTCAGGCGTTGCGGGCACAGGCGGCACGGGCACGAGTGAGGGCATGGGGATGGGTGAGGCCAAGGAACTTGCAGTGGAGGTCGAGTCAGACATATGCGACTGATCACGGCAACGCTCGAGGCTGTAGGACTTCAAGCCCGAGAGCGGGAATATCGGCGCCTTCGACGAAGTGGTCGTGGATTCAGCCGAAGCCTGAGTGTAGCGGTTCCATTCGGAGCCATCCCAACGTGAGAGCGTCGGGTCGACCAGAGTTTGTATCGAAGGAATCCGAAGAGATGCTCCCGCTACCTTGGTAGAGGAATGGTACCAAGATCAGTAAGCTCATACATGAAGGCGAATCAGTCGACGTGCCTGCAGTCCCTCGTCCAGCCAAGAATTAGCAGCATCCGGCACGTTGAAGAGCCCTAGATATCCTCGCGTGCTGCGATAGTCCGTGCGCCGAAACGGGCGCGCTGGCGGATAACGACCTCCTAGTATGCAGACTGCCTGTTCGACATGGCACGAGGGCGCTGCACATGCCCGTGATGAAGGGCAGAGATGATGCCCCAGATCTCGAGAGTTGACATTTATGTTGTTCTTATCGGACCACATCAGGAGGACTTGCCGTTGGTGCTGTGTTGATCGATCAATGTCTCAATCACACTGCGTGATCAGCAATACATACTACAAGTGTGGCGTCGTCAGACCTCGCCTCCTTCAGGTCGGCAAGGGCATCAAGACGGGAATTCAGGCGTAATTATTGATCAAACCCGCAATCGGCACGACACTGACGATGATGTGTGAGTGTAAATGCGAGTCTATAGGTGGCCTCGCTCACGGCACGTTCGGGATAGTTTGCACTGCGACGCTCGAGGCTGTGACGGCGAGACGGCGAACCGTGAGAACGAAACATGACCAAATGAGGTATCACACGTGGACAGTAAGGTGTAGATATTGCCGGGAGAAAGCTCGAGCGTCTCTCGCCCCGAAAAATGTGGCAGGAATCGCCGAATTGCATAACGTGCTGCATAGATTTGGGAAAGCATCCTGGCTAACCTCCAGTTGTGGATTAGCCAAATGCCACTAGGCGATGCTGGTTGCTTCACACTCGTGACCCGTATATCAGTACGTCTTATAGTTTGCGCAGCTATAGTTGTTCGGCGTGGTACATCATCGCAACAAAGCACAATAAATTTCGATGCACTCCAATGACCGCGATTCATCGTGCGACCTTACATTCGTCGTTCACAGAATCTCCATGAAGGCGGGATAGAGGAGCAGATATAAGTTGTCACAATGTCAGAACTGTTGGATAGCTGCTCCGAGTAGTAGATGGTCGTGTAGCTCAATGGGTCATACCTCGTGGGCACTAGTGTGGCCTTCAGTGAGAGCAGACATCCAGATTTTAGGATGGATATGATGGTCTCTTGATGACACATTACTGACCTCCGGTCTTGAGCGCGGTGCTTAGGCGGCCCTTGACCTGCTGCGCGAGGCTCGGTGGAATGATACGTGCCACATGCGCTTCGTTGACATTGTCAATCCTCCGCGTGCGCGCCCCGGGGTGGAGTGATAGTACGTCAACAATCGTCAAAGTGTCTCGGCATACACCCAAAGACAATCGCAGTGTACCGAAGAGAAGGGATCTAGTCGACGACGAGATACGCGAATTGATCTGCGTTTGCTTTGCATTCGTTGAGGTGCATGGGCGCAACGGGCCTCTCGCATTATATGACGGAGACATAATGAGCGAAAGCGTGGGTGGAACAGTGGTCTCTGTGGCACGCATGATCAGTGGCATTATACTCTCATCATGTAATGCGTGCCTTCTACAGGGAACAGTGATGATTCGCACCCTTTGTTCTGTCGAAGGCATGGAGTTCTGCATCGAGACAGCACAGTCTTGTCACCAAACGAGACAAGCAGTGGATTGAACAGTCCTGCGCAGCGAGAGCCGTCGTCCACCGTCACGAACTTTATAGTTGGGGACATTGGGGAAGGCATGCAGGACGGCAGACACCTCATCCCTGCAGTCCGATAGACATAGATCGATGACGCTCGACCATGCCATCAAACAGCTCAAGCGCGCTCTATGCTAGACTATGTCCGCTGCGGGATTAGCCAAATACACACAGTGATAGCGCTGCTAGCAGTTGTTATTACACGGAGACGTACAATTTCGCAGCCTTGCACACTCATTTACATTATTGCGTCACCTTGAACCCGAAGATACGCTTCTTCTGCCCCAGTGCCTCTCGACGCGACTTGGAGTTCGGATCAAAGTAGGGCTTCTCACCCAATGAAACAACACGATCGCCCTCTCGGTGGTCGTCGTAGTCGCGTGTGACTAAAGCAGCTATATCAGGGTGGCGCTCCGTGACGCGTGTTGGTGTAACCACTCACCGTTGTGGAACGACGCGGAGTTGGCCCATATCGCAACGTCATTCCTGCGCGTTAGACGGCAGTCTGTCAGTCACCAAGATGATCCAGGCATCGCTGACGCTTACTTGTTCCACTTGAAGCGTACTTGAAGATCGTGGTTGTCGCTGACCAGTCTGAAGAGGTAGTCGAGCGTAGCGTCGGACTCATCCTTCGTCAGCTCCAGAATCCGGCGGGTGAAGCTATACAGACAGCTCTCAGTCGCAAGCACTCGGATATTGCCTACGCAGCAACTCACTTCTTGTTCACGAATAATGCCTTCCATCCCGTCACAGGATTCGTGCGGATCACAGGGTGCACAGTGCGCAAGTCTGTGCCGACGTTCTCAGGGTTGCCACGCGGGCCCTCGTGGAGCGTTTGTCCCTGTCTATCTCAGGTATCAGCTCATCTGGACAACACACATGTCTCAGACGCGCTCACCTCTCAACGTAGCTTTTGAAGAATGTCGCCTCGTGTACGGCCGTCAGGCCCTCGAGGTGCTTCGCCAATGCGGGGCTCAGCCGATCGTACGCCTCGTATCCGCTCGCCCAGAGGGTATCGCCTCCGGTCTCCGGCAAGGTGTGAATCTTCAGAATGGCGAAATCCGAGGGGACCGGCTCGAACGTGATGCTAGGCGGCGTCAGGGGCCCGTTCCGCGTGCACGACAAATCACTCACTCTGAGTGCCATTCTTTCGTGGCGAATTGCGATACATTGAGATCCTCCTCGAGCTCTATTTGTCTATAGCCAGTGTTAGTAAGCACATTCGTTGTTGTTCGGACCGAGCGGACACTGACTTGTGGTGCGCTGATGTAATAACCTGAGTATCAGGACCAAACTCATCCTTCTCCTGGGTGGCTACCGTCGGGTGAATGTGCAGTCCCGACTCCTTTGGCCGGCCTGACAGGACGCCCAGCTTGGTCCCGAGCTGTTACGGCCGTTCAAGCCCCGCTGCTGCAGATAGGCAGGCAGTTTACTGGAACGTACCACTTTCTGCTGCTCGAGGTCAATGTCCTGGTTTCTGAAGAACACAACGTTCCGCTGCGATACTATAACCCAGATTAGTCAACCGAGCGCATCAGCCAGACACGCTACAGACGCTCACCAATGATCGCAAGCTCCCTGATCAGCTCATCTGCGTTCTCCGCTTTGAGCAGATCCGTCAACTGCACGTTCGAGTACTCGCGCCCGATGACAGGCGTGAGTTCGGCGAACTCGTACTTGTCGAGAGCTCCTGTCGGCTTTAGAGGGTCGGTCGATGCGCGCACCGAGAGTCTGGAGAACGTCTCCGTGAGAGTGGCAGTTGCAGTGTTCGACATCGTTGTGAGCGCTCGGAATGTGTGGTGTGTCGATCGAAGCGATCTTGTGAGAACAGACTATGTTTATATCGTCTCAGGTCAACAGTATCACCACCACGTCTAGATGCCGCGGACATCACGAATCTTGAAGGGTGTACGCATCAACTAGGCACGGCCCCGTTATCTATGGCACAATAGCCCGCTCGAATGTCGTTGAACGAGACGTAGACCGCGGCGACCCAATGATCATTCGATGCTCGTGTTGTCTACACCGGGCCGGAATGGGGCGGTGGTCGACTGCGCGGCTTGGGCAGTGAGCTTCACGACTCGCCCGGGCCAGATGTTGCGGTGTGTTCCAAAATCACGTCTTCGCGGCGTCAGATTGCATTACTTCCAAGCAATGAACATAGAGGCTGAAACCCGATCGATGACATATGAGTTCAGGGAGAACGCTATCGCGATGCGTAATCTGCCGATAGCATGTTGAGCTTCGTGCTTGTGAGCCCAAAGTCTATAGTGCGGGCAACCTAGAGGCCACCTGTTTTGTGCAAACTTTCTGTGGCATTCAAATTTCCCCCGGATACTTATCCCTTTAGTAGAAATGCCCTAAATCATGCTAGGACCAATCCTACTAAACGGATTTTCATGAAAGTCGAAATTGCCCAAGATGGCCGCTTGAAATTGGCAACATCACGTGCACATGTCTATACTTGGTAAGTATTACATAATATACTTCCTAAAGCGGTATCTAAGCATCAAAAAGACGAGCCAGGGTTTCGGGAATACGTCTGTGGGATGTGTATTGTCTGGAGCTGAACTGATTCACCAGTTACTGTGTGTCTCAAGCCCTGATCAACAGGCATATATTCATCCCCCACACTGAATGGTGTTCCCGATGATGGATGGTCTCGGTGTCGACAGAAGCACAAACCTCCAATAAGTTAGCCTCGAGGGCTTGCAATATATAATGATAGTTCTCATGCAAGTATCGCTTCATTGCACCCCAGAACAACTCAATAAAATTGAGCCCGAAATGGAATTTTGGCAATAAAATGCACAACATGTCTCTTGACTTGAGTCTCATCGAGCTGAAGGTTCTTCTAACAAAATGACTCATGGTCAAACACAGCTGTGGCACTGCTGTATCCCGATAAGTAAGTAGTATGCTATACTCTATACGATATATTACCCCATGGCCACGGGCGCTTATTGGTGAACAACTGCCCGACCGATTTGGCCACTGCACATTTTAGGTGGTGACTAAGCGGTGCGCACCATAAGTCTTGGAAGACAGGCCCGACATGCGCACCACATCAGAAGTTCAAGACGCCCAGCACCATGTCATCTCCTGAAGACTATTGTTCCCTCGTTCCATCCAGCCAGGATACATATAAGTCGATGTGAAGCAAAGCATGGAGATTGCATGTGTTGATAGATACTTCTGTTGTTCAGGGCCCGGCTCGGGCCCAAAGCCCTACTTTGGGCCGCACTTTTGGCCACCGGGCCTGGCTTCATAGTCAATCCAAGCCTGCACACTAGGCTCCGTGGCCTCTTGAAGGTCTTTCGAGGACTTGTGTTGAGCTATATGCGCCTCAGCCAAGCAGGGTTCGGCGGGCTTGGGCCTCAAAGCCCGATTGTGAACATCACTACTTCTGAAGGCAAATTACTTCCGCTGAAGAGGTCCGGCCAGGAATAATGTTTGTCATTATTTGGCCCCTGCGGCTCTCGATCTCCGCTGTACCACTTCCCCTATTGCGCCTTCTACTACCCGTGGCACGTCGGACTATTCTCTAATGTCTCTGTGTCCTGTCTGCGTTGCGCCAAACCTGCCTCCTTGTAGGTTGTCTGATCGTGATCGCAAAACTCCGTCCGCGTCAGTCTGAGCAGTGAGCAATGTATGCATCACGTTCTGTAACGCATGCGTACGTGCTTTATTCCCAACGCCCTCAGGCTGATTCGTCCATGCTAACGTGCCTGGTGAAACCTGATTCACTCGGCACCTCAAATCACGCTTTGAGACACACGATGCGCTAATTCTCTCTGTCGTTGTGCTCAGGGCCCGCCCTTCCTGCGAAGCGTCAGGCGGTTGCCTCGGGGGCATGGCTACAACCCTTGCGGAGATGCATGCTTGATGACATGCCAAGATGTCTTCAATGCATGCGAGATCTCTTCTCACACCGTACTTTTCCCCAGCTACGAATTCTCCGATTTGTCAAACATATGTGAAGTGCTCCTAAATGTTCGTCGAGATTGAGACAAGGGCGACGCGAAAATCTTCGTGAAGTGGCCAAAGAATTAACTGTATGTCTCATCTGTCTTCAGTCCACCATGAGCATTCTAATCCCCTCGTTATCGTGTCTAGAGCTTTGTATCAACGCCTCGCTACGGGTTTTCTCTTGCGGCTCCTTCCGGTCGGCGTATCTCTGACAACTGGCTACTCAAGAAATGTGGGCACATTTGCGTCCCTGGTCGTTGAGCAGACGCCACTGTTGCGTTATGTTTCTGTCGGACCTGGTACTGTGATGCGTCGTTCGCACACAGCTCCAGAACGCTCATTCATTGGCAAGAGTTGGCTATGGAAGACCGAATGCATAGGATGCACCAAATGCTTACCTTGTTCGCTTCCTACTACTCTCTATCCACGAAGGAAGATAGGCGTCATCGCATCCCTACAGTGCACAGGGTACTGACGCATATAAGTGTCAGCTCTGCAAGTGACGTGTTTAGTGTACAATTGTCCCTGCTCGCACTGTATTTTTCACGCGCTCGAACGTGGTTTACTCCATGTATCAGACATTCCTGACTGGTCTGGCCTGCAGCGCGTCCCGCCAACTTAGAATCTCTACAGGTACTTATCGTGAATCGATGTGGCCGTATTGTGATCTATAATCGACGGGGATCCGGAGTTCCTGATCGGAGCTCATACCTTCCTTCCTTTCTTCTCGGCCCGAAGATGCATCGTCAACGGCCCCCGACCATTGGGCCATTTGAGACACTATTCTGCTCGACGACATCGGAACGGGTTCTTATGCCATAGATAACGGCACCCCTGACTGCTTGACGCACTCGCCGTGAGATATTTCGCTATGTCTGAGATACTGAGCTCTTCATTTAAGAGTGCGTTCGTCCCGCCGTTTTGTTGATCTCCACACTGACAGGATCGAGCGTACATCGCAACAATGTCCAGCACTGCCACTACCACTCTCACTGGGACCTTTTCGAAGCTCTCGGTACGCGCCTCTACCGAGCCATTGAATCCAACAGGCGCACTCGACAAATACGACTTCGTTGACGTCACGCCCGTCATCGGGCGCGAATACCCGAATGTGCAGTTGACCGATCTGCTAAATGCAGAGAATGCAGACGAGCTGATCAGAGAGCTGGCGATAACCGGTGAGTACATACGAAGCTAAAGTAGCTATCGCGTGTTTCTGACACGCTGAGTATAGTATCACAGCGGAATGTGGTATTCTTCCGAAACCAGAACATTGACATTGAGCAGCAGAAGAAGGCATGTCCAGTTCTGTCTCTTCACTGTGCGTGGGCTAACTATCGTGTCGGGCACAGCTAGGAAACAAGCTTGGCATCCTATCAGGTCGTCCGAAGGAGTCAGGGTTGCACATTCATCCGACTGTGACAACACAAGCGAAGGTTGACTCCGGTCCCGAGATTCATGTCATCACCTCGGCGAAGAACAAGTCAGTGTATCTTCACCTCACGTAGAACAGCGACTCACCATGCGATGCTGTTACTACAGGCGACTAGAACACCAGAATGATTTCGATGTGTCACAGCTCGCATCTAGGGAGTGGCACTCAGAGTGAGTGCATATCGTTCAGTGACACAGATCAGCGCATCTGATCATCTGCATGTCACGCTCAGCATCACGTTTGAGCCCGTGCCCTCAGACTTTGCTATCCTGAAGATCCATACGCTGCCGGAGACTGGTGGTGACACTGTCTGGGCAAGTGGATACGAGGCGTACGACCGCCTGAGCCCTGCGCTGGCAAAGCATCTCGAAGGCCTGACGGCAATTCATGAGGCATCGAAGTTCAAGCGTTATGTCGAGTCGTAAGTACCCGCCAGTGCGATGATTGGGACCTCTCATGCGGACTGCATTATAGACATGGGAAGACGCTTTATGATGGCGAGCGGGGAAACCCAGAGAATGTGGGAGCAGACTTGCGAGCTGTCCACCCCGTCATCCGCACCAACCCTATAACTGGCTGGAAGGCGCTGTTCGTCAACAAGAAGTGAGTGGCTTGCCAGCGTCGATCCGAACTCTGCAGCTGATTGAATAAAACAGCTTCACTCGCCGGATACTCGAGCTTACCAAGGACGAATCTGATGCTACGCTCGACTATCTATTCAAGTTGGTGAACGACAACCATGATTTGCAAGTTCGCTTCAAGTGGAACAAGTCAGTCTCAAGCTCTGGTATCCGAATTGCCGTTTACTCACAGACACCACTCTTCTCACAGAAACGACGTTGCTATCTGGGCCAATTCTGCTACGTTCCACAACGGTATGTGGTAGGGTAGAATCGTAACGTAGACTTGGGCGCTGATGTGACAACCGCAGTGACTCGTGACTACGACGACCTGCGGGAGGGTGACCGGGTGGTTTCACTCGGCGAGAGGCCATACTATGATCCGAACTCCAAGTCACGACGGGATGCACTCGGACAAAAGAAGCGCATCTTCGGGTTTCAGGTTACCCAGTGAAATGATCAATCTTCCGTAGATAAACTGCTGTACCATACTCGTAGCGAGTGCTCTTTTTGAGCGCGAGATGTGCTCGAATCTGATCTAAGAGCTGCTCGCGCACTTCATTAAGGCTGCCAGGGGACTACTACACATATCATACGTGTGCATCGACTATCAAAATTGTCGATCAGTCGGTTCAAGGAAAGGCGTTAAGCTTAGATGGGAGACGTACCTATTTGACGTTTATTATCGCTCACCATGAGCGGCAATATGAGCGCCTATTCCACCTTTGCGGCAGGAAGGTTCCTCCGTGGCGGATACAGTTCGCGCAGATCATGATGTCGACCCGAGTATGCTTGCGAGAGCCGCCTATGCATCAAGTGATCCTGTACACACCCATATAGCAAGCACCAAGTGCGCGCAGTATCATGCAGGTCGATGGGGAAGCTTGGACCCACCATATGCATAATTGGCACAGCTACGATATAGAGCGTACATGGTGGTGTGAAGCGTTCTCTCCTATTTCGAATACGGAGTTCCTTACCCACCTATCCATAGTTGTCATGCATGATTGGAAGTTATTCAAAGCATAAGCTGACCTTTCCTTCCGAATTGTGCGACAGTGCTCGTCAGAAAGCGTGCGGAGCTTAAAAACCAACAAAGCGCTGGGTCCACTCACAATCGTCCGCGACTCAAAGTGCTTTGCCCTCCATTATCTCTCGCTCCTCCATCCACACTCACAACTACCATCATGCCCTTTCATATCCTACGAGAACTCGAAGCTCACCTCAAGGACGCTTCATTCGGCGCGAAAGACACTGCCGTCTTCGTGAACACCAATGAGGTTGTCGCCACTTCCAATAATCGCGACCTGCCCTTCGCAGCCGCAATTGCAAAATTTGGCTACTCCGTCGCCATCAAAGCGAGGACCCAAGCAGTGGAAATCGTTCTGTCGCATCTGTAAGCAATTGTACCGCGCCTCGTATTATTGATTGTAGGGCTTATGGGGGCCTTCAGTTTTGTGGCCCGTGAGCTTGGCCCTTGCGACATCTCTACTCCTATTGTGGAGTCCTTCGATACCCTACACGAAGCTTTTGCATATGGGGCTGCCGTAGTGGTATATAATGCTCACCTCCTGCGCTTGCCACAAATGCTGACCTGTGGCCTAGCGCGAGGACAAGGTGCTTGTCGTCTGGTCGGACAAGAAGGAGGACGTCGTAAAGGAATTCCGCCACACGGAGCATCGGCTACAGCACCGCACTGGACTATGCACCTGTGGCGCCATACCACGACGTCCCTTACTCGATGTAGCAAATTGCGGCGAACCAGTTGCTTCATCGTCAGGTGCGTCAGTCTATCATTCGTAGGATATTGGCTCTCTAACGTCTGTACGTGAAGCGCACCCTGCATCCGGCGTATACGACGGATTGTTCGACATAGCGCTGCAGAAGCGTTTGTCAGACAAGACGCCGAGCGTATGTACAATCTCTCACATATGGAGTCCTGTAGCTCACGTTGAACACTGATTCAGCCTTCCAAGCTCGCAGTTTGCGAGTCGACGACATACCCTGCGCTACCGTGGAGTGCACCTTCAAACATCTCCGAGTAAGTGTCGCAACATCGCCTCACCCTTGTTCTTCCTCCTGACAAGCTCATCTGACAGACGTATAATGGGTGAGGACGATCTAGAGATCGTACCAAGCCGTACCTCAGGCAAGAATCCCGCGCGGACCACACATTCGTCCAAGCGGAAAAGGACTCACGTAGAGGCTCTCGGGGCCACTACTGTACCGCTTAGACAATCTTCTACTCCCAACCCACGGCCTCTTGTGTCAAGCCGTCAATTCGCCGGTCCCAAGAACCCGCAACGGAAATCTACTGCCTCTCTGAGTAGCACATCGGCGGGCGGTGCGTGATCGTCTCGTCCTCCATGTAATACTACAAGAACCCACATGTACAACAGTCTTTTCCGGCCCACACGTGATGGACAAGGATCAAATCACCGCGACACACAATGAGGCCGCTCCTGACGAGGACGTGGATTCTGATAATGGAATCGATGACAACGACGAGTACATTGACGGCCCTACGACTCGGAAAAGGACAAAGCGTACGTGTCCTGTGCGTAACGCAGGCCCATTAAATGCTCGCTCCGATCTGGCATCGTGCGCGCAGACCGGAAGGATGTTATCCTCGAAACCAGGCACTCCGGGGAAGGGCAATCAGCATGAGGTACCTCTTGCCGGAGTGTCACCACAGACAACGGAAGAAGGGTGGACCTCGCCCCCAAGGTTCACGGCAACTGAAAAAGGAAAGGGGCGTGCCGTCGACTCTCCCGACGATGACGGTGGTGCTGAGCCTGGGCCATCACCGCACAAGAGGATGGAGCGCACACAGTCCACCAGGAAGGCAAAGCGGAAGGTGAACGACCACGATAACGATCCCTACGCAGACGCCGCGGACCAAAGGCGATTAAAGAAGCAAAAACAGGCGTCAATGACGTCTGCATCAGGGAGCATGACGCGCTACACATGCACATATCCCGGCTGCCAAAAGACATATGGGCGCGAGAAGGACATGGTGCGTCATCGCAAGACCCATGGTGCGCCGACCAACTTCTGCGAGTGGTGCGGGAAAGGCTTTGGTCGGGTCGACGTGCTGCGACGGCATTGCAGAGAGATACACGAGGATCATCAGGGAGAGCAGGATGCAGCCGTTACTAAGGATGGTGACGACGACAAAGTGGATGAGAAGGAGGGGAGCAGCTGGGAGAAGAGTGAAGAAGACTCGCCCGAAGACCAAGACACCGACGGTTGGGATGACGGCAATTGAGCAGGAGACTTATGACCTGATACCCTACGGTGCCGTCTCTTTTACAACGCCCCGCTCTATTGTTTCGCGGCCTCTTTTTGTTCGTTTTGCGCCCCCCTCTGGCCTCTACGCAACTTCTCGAAAGGACCCTTGGACAACGTGATGAGAATCAGATATCAGCATAGCCTGGTAGCACTTGATACCTACCGTAGTGCCCTCACGCGTCATTCCTACGTGCTTGGTATTGACTTCTGCCGTTTTCCTTGGAATGAATCGGCATCTACGCTTCATTTGTTGCATCTACTGTGCCGAACGCTTGCTTCCAAGCAGACTAGCATCGACTAGGGCAGAATATCGAGGTATGTACAACCACATAATGCTGGAAACTCACTTACAAAGTGAAGGGCACGATGGAATCCCGGAGGCCTCAGGTCGTCGAACAACTCAGCGGTCGTCTTGAAGGGCGAAGGTCTCTATCGTGCAATTACACCAGACCACACGCGTGCAGACAGGTGCTTCCAGAGTTTGGTGTATGAGAGCTTGGATACATCGCGCACCGCGACCAAGCGCGCTCTGTGCAATGTTGAGCAACGTCGTCAAAACGGATGACACTACATGCAGCAGCCCTTGTTGCCCAACGTAGCTAACGATCAGAATGTCCTGTATGTTCCAAGTGGGACAGGAGTTCAATCGCGGTGAAGGATACGCAAACTCGCAGGCGAGAGTCATTGGTCTTTATAATACAATCGAGGCAGTACATATGGACGAACCTGATGCGACCTCCTTCAGCGTAACTCTGTAATGCGGACTTCCTGTGTGAGCGAGGTATGTTGTGCTCTTGAAAGGTCGATTTGTCCAGCAATAACGATCGATTGGCGACAAACTTTCTAAAGAAAGACTGACAGAGACTCATAAACAAGCTGGGCAGTACTTTTGACTTAGAGCAACGGTCTGCTACTTGTTCACGTGGGTATAGACGCCGATAGTCGTCGGGCCGCGCGTCCGGGGAGCCCCGCATGCCTCCTTTCCTGTATCTTCCGAACATTCATTGCTCTAGCCTCTGCCTCCAGCCAGAGTTCAGCATCGACAAGTGGAGAATATGATTCTTCGTTATTGCGAGATATCTACCCATGAGCTAGTAGCTGGCCACCCAAGTCGATGCACATTTCTACTGTATAGTGACATCGTCCCGAGACGTCGGAATTGAACGTTGGAGGACATCGCAGAACATGGTCAGCCAATTTATGAACCAACGCGATTCAATCAGGTGCGTAATCAACCTTCTGCATGTGGTTTTTAGGATCATGCCTTGTGGTTCATCCAGTGAGTCCTTCATGCAGAACAAGGCAGCGATGCGGTCGTTGACCTGTGACCGCGTCCGCCAGTAAAAGCTAGCGCTCTTGGAACCTGGGTATGACCTTGTGGACGACCGATCGTTTCTTTCGCAAACATACGCTTCATATTCACTAATTGATATCATAGATATCAAACCCTTGCAGCATTGGAAGCATAGAATGTTTCTCTCATTGTCGAGGCACCGCAAACCAGACAGCTGTCTCTATCTAGAACGTGGCTGATCGTGATTTGCCGCCTCCAGAGAACAATGTATGCATGACGCCCTCGAGGAAGCTTATTGGTAATGTGTATATGGTGGCCTTATTTCTCGATGTGCCGCTGCAGATCAGTAGTACTGGTGCTAGTGAGCGGTCCACGTTCACCACGTTCACACGCAATACACACGATATCAGACTCTTGCTCTGGGTGTTGTACCCCCGCGTGTTCAAGCCTCATCCACTTTCCTCCATTAGCCTGGCTTGCCGATACGGTGCGGCACATCAGCGGATGCGCTCATATATCCTGTGGCGCGTTGTGCTGCCGTATTCACTACGTTTCTCTTACAATGGGTCATACGCGATCACACCTGTTAGCTTTTCCTCAGAAGACTCGCCGGAATCAAGTTCAGGTGTCGAATACATATTCAGCGGCTTAATCACAGTTTTAGGAGTTCATAGTGCACCCGTACTAACATCAATCATACTGACCTCGAGAATCCTAGCCCGACGCCACCTTCTTGAAAACCATTATTTCTATGTCCTTGGATGGATATACCGCAGTTGACTCGCATCGTTGCACGACAGTATGTGTGTGTCTTTGCACTTCGGCGACTATGGTGAGCGGCCTGGTGCACATCGAATGTGCCATTTTCTCCTCATGACCTGGACAGGCTACGTCTTGTTACTCTACTGTAAGCATTCCATTGTGCTCTTACTCATTGCGCCGCCAACACTGGCCTCTCAATAGACTAGCGCCAGCTCAAGAGCTGCAACCATTCAGATACAACGCCCTGCTGCCCATGATATCAGGTGTGTTTTCAGATCGTTTCTGTGTTCCTACACTCTGCAACCATTACTGGTGGTCTGCATCATCCAGGTGCTTCGTCCACGACCATTGCTCAAAGCGCATGAGCTGAAATGTCAGAAATCGCTCGACAAGTACACGCGGCTTCGGCTCCTACGCAGGGACTACTTGCAAATGCGTGAACAATTGTCATTCTGCGTCCACGACGATATGGTAAGCTAAGCTACCCTTGTCTCACTACGAGAATGCATTATTTATGGCATGCTATCTGTGGCGAGAGAGGAGCGCTGTTCCGAAAATAGATGAAGATAAATGAACACTGCTAACGACCAAGGACCGAAAACATTAGAGGACGAGGTCGAAATGAACCCAGGCGAGCACGTCCCATCCGAGTTACACGTCCTGTCGCTCACACGCCATCCCAAGCGGTCGTCCTCGCGTTGGTCACGCTACCCTTTATGCCGCCCGGCAGCCATTCTCACGGCTCCTATTACGGCCTTTCCGTTTCTCTTTATCCATTCTTCCCCGCCCTTCTTCCCCGCCCTTCTTCTCGTTCCGCTTGCTGCTCGTCCACCTCCTTGTCCACCTCCTCGTCGCAACCTCTTGAACTGCCGGGTCCTAGTCCACATCCTGGGAACGTTTTCCCACAGTGACTGCATACAGATGCATGCTCGCCGGCGTATGACTCCCATGTGGTATTGCTGAAAGCGAAGCGCGCGGCCGTAGACAGGCTCCGCAATACTAGAGATGTTGGCCCCGTTCCCCGATTGACCTGCTTGTCGACGGCTGTGTCGACTCTGCAGGCGCAGGCAGACTATCAGTCTTTGGAGCCTCCTGCGTCGACTATTACCCTTCCTTCACTCGTGTCCTTAGCACGTGCCTCGCTCCCCTCAACAGTGTTCGATCTTGCAGTTGCGCTATGGTTGTGTCTGCCAATTATGGATGGAGCGGTCTGTCCGCGACAAATGCGTAGTGGCGGAAGGAAGAGGGACAGTGGTGGCGAGGCTGACTTGATGGGCAATCCGGCGTACTATATCCTGCTGCTCGCGCTGGTACGAGGCCTCCCGATGGATCTCCACATATCACTCTTCAATAGCGAGCGAGGTCAGTGTTTGAATCGTCGTGCACAAATTCGCCCGAGCGTCCGCGCCCTGAACCAATCTGTTTTTCCCTTGTTGGCGGCGAAGCATCTGGTATTCAAAGCCTGATATTTGACTAAGATCCGCGTGATGAGGCCGCCCCAGCCCGCCGATGTTATGTTGGGACTCAACTCTATAGGTTGGTGAAGACCGAAGACAACTTGCATCACGTGTGCCTGCGCCTGCCAATTAGGTTTCTATGAACCCTTTGATGTCCTCACAATGAATAGCTTCAAGCATGCAACCACCGAGATTGGGACAGCCCTTTCCTTTTGATGGTCTCTAGTCGTGGTGAGCTACTGGTGCTAAAACACTTCCGATGATCTTGTATGCTGACGACATCATAAGCTTCCTCGCACTGAAGAAGTAAGTCCGTACATGCGACCCGTATACACGTATTGCACTCGCTTGCATTCCAATACAGATAATTGGCATGCAATCCTGCCGTAGGCACTTCTCCTTCATTTGTTGTACTCTGTGGATACAGGCAAAATTTACAAGCTAGTGACTGAAGGCTACCATGGCCTTTCCAACTAGGTCAAGGGTCATTCCGTAACGGAGGCACCTAAGTCCATATTTCGCTCATCAACGGGTATGTTTTGCACTCTTTGATTTTGAGTTCATGACATGTATATCATACCACAGAAATCTGTCTGACGTGACTGGGTCCCGTACGAGAGGGCTCGAGGCGTTCTGAGTCGATAGAGCTGCAAAGGGCTGGACAGATTAGGCCCCTATTGCCGATAAAGAGGATCGATCTGTTCAAAGTCGTTCGCAGTTTGTGTGAATTTGCAGCCGTCTTGAATATCGTGTTGTATATTCCCTCAATTTTCAAGTAGAGGAATCGGTATATCTTCTCTCACTAACTGTACATCCTGTGTTCGATATTTGCACGAGCACTGACGGAAATGTGTGAATCGTGCTTCGGGATATACTATAACTCCAGGGATCTTACTGCGTGAGGTAATTTCAGTATCAATATCAATGTAGTATCTACACCGCTGACTCTCCGAGCTCCAGAGAGGGAACTCAATGAGATCCGCCTCATTTTGCAAGCAGAGGCCAAGCAGGCGTGAAATCGAAGGATGCTAAATTGGAAGATGCTATCTCATTTCCTTGGGAAATGTTTTCCGCATTCTCAATCAATATAGTTGCATTAGGTGCGCACACCTGATTTTCTTTATAGACAGAGCCTCGGCATGTCGTGCATCAAGGGTCGTGTGCTGAGCAGGCATGGTCCTTCGCACATCAAGGGATATGTTCCCGCGGCCGCGTGTGGTGGGAATCTGGGGTATAATGACGTCCATCATATATGGATATGAGCTTGTGCTGATCAATAGGGTCTTGTGAAAATTTACGCATGATCTCCACCGGAGAACACTCAGGGACAGGTTTGGCGTCAGTCTCTAATACTCGAGGCATCTCAAATAAGACCTCGCTCTCAGCTGCCTGGTTCTTCCCGGCGGCGGCTAATCGCTGCTTCGCGTCTTCTCGAAACATATAGGTGCGTGCTCCCCGTGAGAACGTAGCTGTGGTGTGTGTGACCGATGGCCGACGGCGTCAACACAACAGATATCATTGACTATTAAGTGTGTAGACGTAGGTGGGTGGTACATGCCCATTGATTCCCGAGACAGACGACAAACGGTACTAAGACGTTGTCATGCGTGATCCGCGCAATTTGTCCTTACACCTCATGCACCTTCCGCCAATGGCCTGGTTGATCGGTACGATCCGTGTGGTCCAACTTTCTCCCTGCAGGATCATTGCTCGTTGAATTTGGCAGATCTGACTCGACGCAGGAAGCTTTGGACTCATTGGGAACCATGGGAAACCACAAAGAGCGCCCTGACACCTTCCGGAATATCTTCATAAGGTGAATCTGCGAGCAGATCCAGTGCCCACAATACGGATCTTATGTGGTCCACGTAGTCTCACGAGGTCGACGCGTGCTCTTTTCCCTTCTCTTCAAAATGGAGGGCTCAAATGGCTTGCTGACGATTACATTGCCAAGCATGCAAATCATCGGATAACAGCCATTTCGCAACATGATACACATCTCGCCAGGGAGCTGACACCATCGTAAAAATTTATATCAAGGTGATCAATTGGTTGGAAGATCCCATAGTGCATTCTGTGTGGGATAAGAAGAGACACTGCCGAGACGTGCATGTGACAGCCGAAATTGAACCGAGTCCAGGCCCTTCAGGGCAACAACATCCATGCTATACTCTCGGCATGTCTGCGTCATCGCTGCTAGAGCGACCGGTACTACTCCGATGATCGCTCAAATCTTCGCTATCCATATCATCACATGAAAGGTACCTTCCACTGCACACGTTACGTGTACAGGTCCCCGGAAAGTGACCAGGACAGTCTGCGATGGGCGCCCCCGGCCGGCGGCAGAGCCAGAGCAGAAATATTCCTTGGGAGACATCCGGCCTTGCACAATCAAAACCCTCAGGCTCTTTTGTGTCCAGACGAGGGCCCATCACTGCCTGTTGCGTGTCTCGCCGCCCGGTAGAACCTAGATGGGACAGCCACCTGCAAGCTTCTGGGTGAGATCTGTCACTCCGATATTATGGGATTTGACCTAGAATTGCATCGAATAGGAAAGTATTGATCAGCTTCGAAAGCCGCGTGCAGCCGGCACCCAACTTGCCGGCATCCGCCACACTCGGCTGAATATGTGAATATGTGAGGGCCTTCTTTTTGGAATTTTGGCATGAATTGGGACTGACGACAAGTAAGATTGTCTAATCAATTACAGAACGAAAGGTGTCAGTATCATAAGTACCATACGCAGTTATGTGACTTACTGCCGTAAGCGTCGACTATACTTCCAATACTTCTGACTATTATTTACCGTTTTTGATTAATGCGGTATTCCACGCGCCCAGTTGGTGACGGCTACTTTGACTCAGTCCGCTAGTTTGGTCCCGTCTCTAAGACTACGACCTCAGGAACCTTTGTACGACGAATGCAGCCGTCAAGAAGAGCAGTACTTTTGCATCGCTGGTCTGTTCTATCTTCGGGGGAGGTAAGCCGTCGGGCGTCGCATCCTCGTTGTTCACAGCAAACCGTCCCCCCGATGGGACACTTTCCTTGTGCTGTGTCAGAAGACAGGAATTTGATCTTCCCTTAAATTTTTCATTTCCGCCTGTTGTGACAATCCGCGCGGTCCTTCGGGGCGTCCAGCCTCAGGGCTCAGTTTACGTCAACATTCAATTTCTCCTGTACTAGTTAGCGTGAAAACCAGAAGCAACGCGCGTCCTCCAAATCCGGCCACCAGCTACAAGTGTGGGCAACCATCCTGCAGTCCTGTAAAAAGCCTCCCGATGGCATTATATGACCTTTTTTCTAGACTATCACAACCATGGCGCGAGGATTTGGATGTATTCTGCTATTCAAGAGCATCGGCTTCCACGCCAGAGGGACCTTTCAGCCCGAAACCGTCAGTCTGATTGCGTAATTAAGCCGGAGAACCTCTCGTTTAGTGTCGTGGGCGTTAGCGTCATCTTCCTACTGAGCAAGAATGTGGAATGGCACGACCTTGTCTCCAATGAGATCCTCCACGACATGTAGAATTCAGAATATGAGCTGCGCTTGAAAAGGTGAGAGGAAATCTGCCAGATGCATGTAGACCTTTGCTATCCACAAGCAACTGGATGCAGGTGAGCATAGTCGTAGATCGACTTGGTCGTATGGCAAGAGTACAAGGGAAATTGGAAGAGTGTAGCACGCTGTCACTCCGCCGCCATTTACGACGGAGGAAGCCGAAGCTCCCACGTGGCCCGCTCTCTGACTCAGGCCACTCGCAAGCCTTCTCGCTCCTCTCGTAGTCGACATGAATCGTGACTGTACCTTTGAAGATTCTATCAAGCAACGGTCTAGTACGACTTCAGCTGTGTTGCAATCGCAGACATCCAGATAAGGCAAGTATAGACTTCGGAACTTACAACCGTGACATTGACTTGTCGTTCGCAGACACTGCTGTGCGTCACAATCACTGCATCTCTGTCAAAGGCTGCATCCTTTCGTGTTCCATATATTTTGGCGAGGTGCGCAGCCTATTATTTTCTCGGACAGCTTCGAGCTCGGGGATACTCGGCCACAGGCGCACTCGTACTAGTGCCGACCTGCTATATCAGCAGCGGCGGGTCTTTTTCAGTTGCATGAGTTATACACGCCACCTTGACACTTGATCGTGCTGACCTGCATGCCCGATCATACCACGATGGGATACTTGGTTTCCTACGCCGATGGCTTTGCAGCGCGAGTGCGCGTCCTCGCATTATCGCGACCATCGCAAGTTCATATCTGAATCTGTGATTTGTCATGATTGCTGTAGGTCATCTTCTCGTAATCCGCTATGTTCTTCCGGGTGGCAATGTGTACAACTTCTTGTGGGAGTGCAGCGTGCCGTGGGCGCTACATACTCAGATAGTGCTCACAAGGCGGACAATGCATCCAGATGCTTATACCGGCGCTGTTGAGAAGCACATACACTTCTCTTTGTACCCACACATAGAGCGTATTCTTTACGCCAGCGCTTTCCCACGAGCACTTTTGAGGGCCATATGTAACCGGTGCTAGTCGTGCGGTCAAACCTTGTTCACCGTCCGCGATCTTCGCCCTCTCGGCTAAGCGGTCTGTGCGGCACGGGAGATCGAGAGCGCCCGTTTGTATTCGCGAATGCTCATGATGCTAGTCGGCTTCCCAGTCTCACTCTGCAGCACCTCGCGGAGTAGTCTTGCGCAATGTGCGCATAACATGACGTCCTCCAAGTGTGAGGCCGACTTAGGCGATGACGAATGAAACCATTTCGAGGCGCGTTCTCAGCGCATGAGCTCACCTATCAACAAAGCGCTATGTCATATGCAAGAAACAGATTCAGAAAAAAACACAATGTCCCTGTGTCTCTTATTACATAAGAAAGCGATTAGGTACTGATGGTAATGTATGTACCAGTACGCAAACAGTCTGGCGATGAAGAGGCATAGACAGGTAGATGGCGACGCAGGCATCGTGGACACAGTGATAGGGCCAGGGTGTAGGTGAGGCAACGCGGAAAAGAAACAACATTCGCGCTCGCTCATTTGTCTGCGCCCTCAGGATCGACCTAGTCCTAGTCCTCGTCCTCTGTGCCGGTGCTGGTGTCGGTGTTGGTGTCGGTTCTGCTGTCGTTATCTTCCGTCTCGTCCCAGTCGACCACTTTCCGACCGGCTCCGCCTCGGCCTCCACTTGTGACATCGCTGGTGCCAACCTCCTCGTCCTTCCGAAGTCCTGCTTGCTTACCCTTTGACGCCAGCTTCTTCGGCGTGTGTCGATGCTTGTCACATCCGTTCTCGCTCCTGACATGCCGCATCATCGCATCCTTGCGAAGGAAGCCCTTCCCGCAGCTGTCGCAAAAGTGCGCCGGTTTTATCTTCTTCGTGCCGCAGCCATATCGGTGGCGCCTCATGTCGGCTCTCCGGGTGTAGGTTTTGTTGCATCCCGGGCGTGTACATGCGTACCTTTTCGTCGCTTTGGTGCTCCGAGGCTTCTGGTATACTCGCGTACTCTTCTTGGTAGGATGCGCGTCGTCGAGGTATTCATCGTCGGAGGCATTGCGCTTCCGCCCTCGTGGTGGTTGAGCTCGCGAAATGCTTTTGGAAGGAAAACAATCAGGTTCGCCGCCGTAGGTGCTACCGTCGTCGTCGAGACTGTCAGCTGTCTGATCACCTTTACTCGGACGGACTTGGCACAATTCCGGAGGATGCGCTTGTTTTCTCGACTCAGAGTCCTGCAACGTCGGCCTACGAGAACGAGTGACTGAGGGACCTGCCGGCTGTGCTGTCCATGCACGCTTAGTTCGACTTTTCTTGGCAATTTTTATGTAATTCTTTTCTACAGCGTCGTCGTTGTCGTCGCTGCTGCCGCTGTTGTCATCTGTGTCTTCACCCAAGAGGTTACTGCTGTCGTGCCGCCCATCCTCCTGTTCCTTATCTGACAAGAACAGATGAGCGGGGAACATGGGTGGCATGCATGATGGGTGTGCTGTGGATGTGGATACTGATGCAGCCTCGATGCTGGCGCCTGCAACCACGGTCGCTGCAAGAAAAGGGTTACGCAATTTTGATGGCCCTGCGAGCGGACGGTAGGACAACGCAGATGTCGGTGGGGCAGGTATGCGCGAGCGCAATTCGCGTGCAGTGGGTGAGGAGCCTGACGCTCGAGGCTGGCCGTGCTTGCGCTTCAGGACCCCGGTTGGCGAGCCCGCGAGTGGAGGCGATGTGGCGATGGGGGAGGCTGACTTAGATGGTGTCGACAGGTGGGGTTCTACCATGGCCGGCCCCCCGACCTCTGCGTCACTGGACGGCACCTCGGTAGCGCCGTCGCTGTCGGTCAATGGTAAGCTTTGGTCCATCGACATCGTCGACGCATTGGCGTTGCGCCAGTGTCGATACTATCGCTGACACGTCCGTAGAGGAACGATCAGTGTAGCGCCTCCATACGGAGCCGTCCCAGTACGGCAACTCTGGATTGAGGAGAGTTTGTATCGGATGTATTGTGACGGGTGCCACCTCCACCGGCGCCGACGGCTACGTGAAGGTACGTAATCATTCATTATCATAAACCACTTGACATACCTGTACGTGCTCTTCTCTCGAGAAACCTGTGGCTGCAGGTGCGCCGAGGAGATCCTCATATTCTGTCCGTCTAGAACTCCCTACGTTCAACACCGCGAGAGACGACTCAAAGTTTGGTGATCTAAAACTCGTTGGGATACCTGGGCCCTCTTTGCCACCGTGCAAGGGCGACGTTGACACATCACCGCAGGTACACATCTGCACAAAGTGACGGAGCCGGTGCTCTAGGTCCTGGAAGTCGTCAATGATGTCGTGCTCCTTCTCGGACCACATCACGAGGACCTGCTCTTGCCGCTATACCAGTCGATCAACGCTCCGATCACATCGCATGACTAGTTGGACACACCACAAGTGCGGCAGAGTGAAGCCTTGCCATCTCCAGGTCGGAGAACTTATCGAGGACTGGGATGCGAAGGTATCCACTGGCATACACTGTCGTCTGTACAGAGCTGAGATTACTGTGTGAGTTTACATCCGACTCAACGATCAGCAACGCTCACGGCATGTTTAAGATTCTCTGTACAGCGGTGCTGGTCGCTTTGACAGTGAAGCGGTAACCCAACTTAGCGGCGCCGTCCGGGAACGAAGGATCGCAGGTACGAGGCAAGACATAAACGGCGTCATGAGTGAGCATCGAGACAGCTGAGACGGTGCTGTCGAGCTCAGAGCGAGATTCCAGGAGGGAGTCTACGAGGTTGCCGAGGATCTTCAGTTTTGGAGCCCCCATGTTGGATGTAACGACAAGAGGGAAGAAGTCTCTCGGGGGATCAAACATTAGGGACAAATGCTGCAATCGTTGCTCAAAGCGTGAAGGGCCGTATGTCTACAGCGCCCGTCGCAAGGTTTTATTGTGGCCTCGAGGCTCGTCTCTTATTGAATGACCAAATCGGACGTCGGACCTAGAACAAAGTTCGGAGTCGTTTGATTCTTCTGACCGAGGTAAATCTCAGATAGCTGACCACAATTGGCGCACGAAATGGACACGGAGCATGCCGCCAATGACCTCAAGGTCGAGGGCAGCCGATTCATCCACTAATCAGCTGGCCATAGTGTTCTCAAACGGCATAAGCCTAGCAGCGTCTTAGTACGCAGCATGGAGCATCGATGTATGTGCCAATTGTTCACAATGTAACTCAGACTTCCCAGCGATTCAGGTACAAGGTTTTGTCTGGCTCCTTGGATTGTGTGGTAGTGCCATTCTACCTTATGCCACCATTTTGTTTATGATTCTGTCTGACAACTGGCTGCCTACTTGACTACTGTTTGCACCGGGCGCGGAAGAGGGGTTCGTTCCGCCCCAAGGCTATATCGCTCCAAGAAACGTTGACTCAAGCGAGGAAGACGTGCTTGCCAATGCATCCGCAGATGAGCAGTAAGACGACACCTCGGATTGTCCATTGCAGAAAAGAGGTGTGCCGTAATAGCATTTGCCTTCAACAATGTCGCGGCATATTTAGTCTCTCATTGTCTTCATATTCGCCGTATTACGAGCGCCTGCTGCTGCGCAAACATCTCATCTTCAAGGCCACCATCTCACCCCGCGCCTCACCTACTCCGTGTTGAGCAGGCTCGTGTATGTGACGTCGCGCCAGCCCTGCAGCGCGGACGTCAACACCGCATGGTGGTGTGGGCTTTCAATGGTGAAACAGGGAGTAGTGAAGAGTGCGCACAGCTCTCTGAACAGGGGAAAACACTCCAACCTGACTGTTACGACGCGGCATTGTGCATTGATTGACGCTGGTGTAGCAACAATCGTACAGTTGTATGTGCCTTGACAGGCCTTGGAAAAAGTATGTGATCTCTCATCACTCCGTCCGCATCCTGTGGTCCCCATCGGATTCTGGCCATTGCGAGGCAATGGCCTGACGGAGCTGATGCTGAATAGCGTGATGTTCTAATATGACCTTGTGGTTCTTGTCAAGGGAGACGGTGAGGTGCCAGGTGGTTGCGCTAGAACCAATGATTTAGTCTTTTCGCTACATAAGGACAATAGGGACGACATCCCATCAACACAGCATTGTTCGAAACACACCGTCTCAGCTATAGAAGGCCTTCAATTATGGGAGTGTGAACGCAACCGGAATGAGTTTCTGTGACTGTAGGGATGAGGTAACCTGACAAGTCAGAACTTGCGCCTTCATCGTCGAGATATGTATCTTACATAGAATACAGAGCGGACTGTGGGAATGTTTGGTAGAATTTGATATCCCGTCTTTAAGGTTACCTCTACGTAGACGCCTCTCCGCGCGTGCGCATTGCCATTGATGCGATAGTCGAGATTATTCTAGTACCGCAACTAGGGCATTTCAAGCGCTGAAAGCTTGCAGAGGCGAGTGCTCGACCTTCAGCCAAGACAATAATCATCTGCTGCAATATCAAAGGAGAGATTTGAATGAGCAAGACCACTAGGTAATCGACATGCTTAAACAGTAAGCAGCCCACTTCAGGGCGACTGATTCTTGCTGGAGGCGGCATAGCGGGCCGCCTCAATGGTACATGGTGGCAAAAGACTTGATGCGCTCACGATCCCCAATGAGCGCTAAGAGCACGTGGCAGCAGACGCCGATAGCGGGTGGCCCTGAAAGAGACAGCTTGCTCTTATCTACACCTCATCGCTCTCGACTGTCTCCCACGGTACAGCTCAAATTCAACATCAGCATAGTCTGTAAACTATGGAGAATCAGCGCAGGATGGATTTATCGAGACAGCTTTCAAGGAAGCATGATCCCGCTGCGTGAGACGAGCATTTCACCGTTGATGCGCTATCTGAGTTGTCCAACAGGATGCACATCTCAACTCGAGATCCTCGATGCACGGAAATATAAAGCACATTGTACAATCAGCGCAGTGGAGAGTCTACAAGGCTCTGCTTCTACCTGCCGGCTAAGCGGTGCGTCACCGAATTGACACGTTTCCTTCGCGACATTTGTCCTAGCACGAATCGAAGATTAGAGGATCGTGCTGGACAAGGCACATTCACTTGCCATCGGGTAGTACAGTCACCAATCCCAGAAGATGTCCATCCATGGGCACCTGCGTCTGCCAATCTGGAGCATTCACTTGTGATTACCTACAGCGTATTCCGTGCAGACAACACCCCATCTCCGCGAATGTGTGATTCTCGAGGTGTTTACCGTCATATGGCCTCTCTTCACTATTTGTGGCTGACCCCGCCCCTTCGCGAGGACGTGATACGCGTGTGTCCTGTGTGAACGTATCTAGTCTACCTGTGACGGGGGCCGTCAGCAGCCTCCTCCAAGGCGCTGCTGTCTGTCGGTAGTATGGGCCCGGATGGGCGGTCTATGTCTACTGTGCCCCGATGCATACCGTAGACAACACAGATAATGTCCTCGCCATGTACGCTCATCCGTTCTGTATCCAACTCTGTCGTGGAATCTGTTGGCTTGGTAGTCGGGTTGATCCGTGTGGTCTAACCTTCGCCCTGCATGATCATCGCTTGCTTGACTGGGACGATCTGACTCAACCCAGGAACGAACGGATGGATCTGGAACCGTCGGGGATCACGAAGGACCCCTGATGTCTCACGAACGGTGTACTATGTGTTGTAGATCTGTCGGCGGATCTGACGTATTCGAAGGGCGAGCTTTGTGTGGTCCATGCGTGTTCGTCCCATGCGGTCGTTGCGTGCTCGGATTGTGATCTCCACCCACGCACGATGCACTTGGCCGCGCGTGAATGATCGAATAGGGCAGCTCGCTGATAATATCACTTTTCAGGCATGGGAAACTGCGAACAATGCTTGTTGCGTGGCGTGTAGAGCGCGGCATGGGGAGTAATGCAGTACCAAAAATAGTCCAAGACGAGGAACGAAATCCGGCAACGAGGCAAGCAAGGATGAAGACGGGGATGGAGACCATTACATTCGGCGAACCTAACCTCGCGGGGTGTCCGCGCACTCGCTCTGTCAGGGACTCGCAACCGACGCGTGATCGCAATGTTCCTCAGTCAGCCTTCACTATCTTCGCCATCCTCACCGCCGTTTCCCATTCAAGAATTTCGTGCAGCCCTTTTTACTGCCCACGTGACGAGCGAGGGCGTCGCGGCGATGGAAGCCCCTGTGGCACCTCCCGCAGAAATACTTCTTGGGGATTGCCTCGCCGTTTGTGGTGCAGCTCTTGGTTCCCAATTGGTGGCGTAGAAGATCCGCCGGCCGAGTGAATGAGCGATTGCAGCCCGGCCGTGCGCAGGGGAACTTCGCCGGTTGGCGCTGCTTGGGAGCACGCTTGGTCTTTTTCGACGCGCATTTCGTTGTTTTCGACGCGCACTTAATCTTCTTGGGAGGACGTTCAACGTACTCGTCGTCCTCGGGGGACTTTCGCTTGGCTCCGCGAGTAGGCTGCGTCTCCTGTGACACTAGTCGATAATCCCGGCACTGGGCTGCAGTGCGTGTAATGAATTGGACAACAGCCCCCTGCGTTGATACACTCACATTCGGTGGTTTCAGAAAGTGATATCGAAGTATGCTTGTGCTCGAGGCTGCGGCGATCGCAGTTGCGACGTGCCGAGCCTTCTCCCTCGTCTTTAGTGTTTGTCTGGTTCTGACATATAATGTATATGTCAGGCTAGATGACGCGGAAGACGGGATGTGTACTCACGCATGTCGTTGAGGCTGTGCGGGAAGCCTCTTGCAACCCAGCCACGGGAGTGTGCTGTTGGACGTCGCTGGCGTCCATGATAGCGCCCATAACCATGGCGGGGCTGTCGTACCCCGATGCCGGTGAATCGGGCGAGCGCTGATGCGGTGTCAGAGGCGGTGAGGTAGAAGATATCTGCATCAACAAAGCGAGAGTACGAGAGGATTGGAACAAATGACACACCGATTCGCCGCCCCCGTATACAACAGACGGGTCGAGGAGCGTGTCCATGGGAGACACGGTGTCCATGGACTCCGCCTCCGCGCACATGCGCTGAGGCGAAGTAGACATGAACGTTGTCGCTATTCAGGTGAGATGGGAGCTTACAATTATGCCCGGCTTCCAGCACGATTTGTCGACGACAATACCTACCGGCTGTTCGTCGCCGCTGGGTGCCGTCAGGCTTGCCAATGATACGTCGAACTTGTCGAGAAAAGCTTCGGTGGAACACATTGTTGATTCAACAGGATCAAGCGCACTACACGAAGGGGGGGTAGGCAGTACAAGTCCTCAAACTAGCGGTGGACAAGCGGCGGCTGTTTGTCTATGAGTGCTCAGCGAGCATTCGGAGCGCGCCTGAGGGTATCCTAGTATTCTATCCCATTATGGCGATGTGGGACCGACGGACAATGCTACTGGTGAGCTTCTGGCTGAGATTTTCCACTCCGATGCTGAAATAGTTCACCATAGAATTCCACGAAATAGGCAAGTAAGGGCGGCCTTGAAGTGGCCTGGAACCGGTATATGGGAGCCCGTATTTCTAGCATCTCACCGGCATTGTCTTGCCCGCGCCGAGGCCCGCAACTATTAGTATCTTAGCTACTCGTTGTTCGAGTGCCGCTGCAGCTGAAGGTGTTACTCCGGGGAAATTGTACCACATATTTACCATTTACCTTCACAACTGGTGAGTTCTTTCTTTGAGTAGCTGTTGCTTTCAATGCCGGAGAAAGGAAGACGGCGGAGGGTCACATTGCGTGTAGAACGTCGTGTGAGTATCCTTCCGATGGAATGATTCTCCGCTATGCCTTCTTGTGTACCTATCTCGAAGATGCCATTGTAGCGCCTTCTAGATGTTTGCGCCGAGAATACGATTGCGTTGCAACAGCCTCTTTTCTACAACAGTACTGAGTAGCAAGAACTCTCCGGATTCGAGAATGACGGGAGAGGAGGACCACTAGCAGTTACCCACCAACGACTGGCTAACTTCTCGATTCGGAGTGCGCTGCTCTCCGCGATCCCATATCATCGGAAGCTGGACAATGGGACCCACGGAACAGCGCCCTATAAGGCTTCCCTTTCATCCCAGCTTGTCCTGTTGTTCTCGTCGCTGCGCAGTAAGCTGGGCATCAGTAATTTGTTCTACCTCGCATGCGACTGATACCATGCTGAGAACGCGTTTTGACAAAAGATGAACCTGTCTTCTTTCGGCGCGAGAAGCTCACGCGGCACCACTCAGTCTCCATCGTGGCACCAAGTGCTCTCAGACAGGCGTGTCATCTTAGCATGTGTCCGTTCAGAGCGCTCGCCTTCCTAATCTACTGTCTTCCACTTGTCATAGACTGAATGGTTCGCTGTACACCACTCCTACGGAAAAGCCAAGTAAGCGATACTAACTAGACCGTGTAGAGGTAAGCGTATTATGTGTTACAGTCAACGATGAGAGGGCAGATTTAAGAATCAGGAGGGAGGGAGTAGGATATGACTTTTTGAACAACTCGTGTCACCGCAACGGACGAGGTCAATCTGACTAAGAGACATGAAGTCAACAATTTGTCTCCAAAAGAATAGGTCCTGACCAGATGTAGTTTTTCTGACGCGCTGCTGTGCGAGAGGACTCGTGTCTAGGCATCTCGACACTACATCCTTGGCACCTCGCTGGCGGCCTTGTCCATATCCTACGCAGTCTCGAGCAAGCCAGCGATTGAGCCGCACGTTGAGACGATCGAGCGTTACACCCTACGAGTGTATAGTTGACGCCCTTCCACCGCCGAAGTTCTGAAAGCTTGCGTCTCAAAGTCGCCGTAGAGGGGTGTAGATGCCGTCAGAGAGCTGAAGAACACTTGTCTCTTGCAACCAAGCGGCATCAATTCGAACCTTCAAAAAATACAATAGATGCCCCCTACCGTCGTGGCCTCAAAACATTATATTATCTTTGTGTCGAGCACGAGGTGGCGGGTAAACTCACCGGGACAGCAATGTGGTCGCATATAGCGCAAAGCTTCTACTCTATATCCACTAGTGGGTAACTGCTGTCAAGTCGACGGACCTGGAACATTTTAGTATCGTCTTGTCCACGTCGAGAAGAAGGATTCTCACCGAGAGGAAGCAGTCAGGCAGGTGACCAACGCCGAGGAGAGTGTCGCACCACAGCAGACTCAGAAAATCAGGAGCTGCGTTAATGCCCGTGGCCGTTAATGTAGACGGCGCTGTGATGCTACAACAAGCACACCAGCGGAATGGCCGATGATGCAGGAAGTTGTGAGGTGCTAAGCACCACGCATGGGTAGCTGGTATATCTGGTCAATATAACATATCAGGAATCAAGACCACCGGAAAGCTGCATTGAGGTGAGCTGTTGCTCCATACAGATCAGGACATCCTGTCATGACGTGGAAGATGGAGAATAAATTCAGTTTCAGTCGCTCTCCATGGGAATTCATGAAGGCTCCATACCTTTAATCTACGAGATTAAATTTCAGGGGTTTGTTAGCGGATAGTAGGTGCCAGAATGGTCAGGAGACGCAGAGCTTGGAAGAACACCGCCTCAGAACCATGCCACATTGCACAAATGGGGAGGAAGAGCGCACAAGTTGAAGTTGTTGGCTTGCAGCCATTGTTCATACCGGAGGAAGCCGAGAGCCCACGTGGTAAACGCGGCCCTCTTGTCTGAACTGAGCTCTTCGGAAAATCTCCCTGTTCCAGTCATGCTGCTGCATGTCGCTGTGAACATGCTATGCTATTTTAAGCAAGGAAAATCATGTAGCAGAGACGTGGAGCTTGAATTCTTCCTCCGCTACGAGATGCATAACACTGACTTCTGACTTCGTAGGTACCATACTCTCCCAACTGAATACTGCGACGCAACAGACCTGAGGATACCCATTCCCTCCCGCCTGTGAACTACTACAATGGTGGAGCTGGATTATGCTCGTTCTCGAACTGACAGTGAAGCCTTGGCCTCGAGTGCTTTCATCCGAGTATGCCGGTAAACATGCACGCAGTCTTTCTTACGGGTTGACCACGTACTCCACTATAGCGGCCACCGCATCCCGCCAACTTGATCAACGACAACTTCTTGATTGCTAGGATTGCTAGGTGGCTACCTTGTACTCGGAAAAAATGACATGTCACGACGATGCGGGATCAACATACGAATAGTACAACGTTCAATAGGAGATAGTCGAGCAAAAATCAACATGGAAACGACGGATGCCATAGTCAGCACGGAAGCATACCGGTATGGAGATGCAACTGTTGATCATCCACTCATACTCATTTGCTCTTCCTCATCCTCAGGTCTGGCCAGATTCTCATCCTCCGAGCCGGCCCCGCTGTCCTCCTGGTCGTCCTCGTCCAGGTCACGCCACTCCTCGTGCTGTCGAGCTCCGCCGCTTCGACTCTCGCTCGAAGCACTGTGCGTCGGAACCTCCTTGCCGCTCTGAAGCGCAGCTCGCTTCTCTAGCCCACGCAGATACTTCGTACACGCCGCCGGCCTCTCCGTACAATGCCGCTTTAAGGCATCTTTGCGATTAAATCCCCTCCCACAGCTGCTACAAAAGTGCTGCGCCGGCGCTTTCTCCCCACCTGGCCCAGCGCAAATATCCATGTGACGCCTCAGGTCGAACGACCGAGTGAAGCTTTTGTCGCACATAGGGTGCGAGCAGCGGTACCTCTTCGTCGTCTTGACAGTACGGGGCTTCTTCCGTCCTCGCTTGCCCGACTTTGGTTCATCGTCCGCATACGCACTGTTAGGACTCTCGGAGAGAGTCCTTTGTGCTCGTGCCTTGCGCTTCCGAGCCGATGGGCGTGACTTGGAAATCGATGTCCCTCCGTCGTTAACGCCATCGTCTGCGTACGTGTCCCTGCCCCTCGAGCGTAGATACCGCTGAGGCTTGCGTCCGCCAGGCGACCGCGGAGATTCCGACTTCTTGACCTTTGAAATCCTCTTTGTCCGCCTATGTGAACGAGTGGCAGGCGGACTCACAGGTAGCGCCCGAGACCCGTCTGTGCTGATCGCCTGGTCCGTATCTGCCGCGTTGTCACCTCCATCATTACTTGTGGTGATGTTCATGCAGGGGCTGCCGTGTCGCTCGGATCCTCTTTTCGGATCTGTCGGATGCAGGCCAGAAGGGGACACAGGTCGCACACTAGGTGTGCGCGGGCTAAGTATGGGCGGTGTCGCCATCTCATCGCGGCGGCTTGTTTCATCGTGAGGCAAGGGAATGGGTGTAGAGCGCGACCTCGACAACTCGGACGGCGGACGGGAGTGTGGCTCGGGCATCGCTTGCACGTGCACGTGCGAATGCAAGGGACTTGTAGTAGACGTGGAAGACACTAGCGGCTGACCACGGCGGCGATTGAGGTATCCTGCCTGCGAGCTAAAGAGCGGGAACTTCGGTATCTGCAATGAAGGAGTCGTGGATTCAGGGGAAATTTGAGTGTGACGCTTCCATTCGGAGCCATCCCAATGTGGTAGCGTTGGGTCGACCAGAGTTCGTATCGGGAGAATCTGGACGGATTTCCCCGCTGCCTAGGTGGAGGGATGGTACGAGGGTCAGTACGCTGATCCACTGTCACATGTGAACGCAAATGGGTTGACATGCCTGCAGTCCTTCGTCTAACCAAGAGCTAGCAGCATCAGGCACATTGAACAACCCTCGACATCCCTGCGTATTGTGGTACTTTGTGCGCCATGATGCGAGAGACGACGCGTGCGCTGGAGGATAGCGACTTTCTGGTACACAGACTGCCTGTTCGACATCGCACGAGGACGATGCGCATGCCCGCCGTAATGAGTGGCAGAGATGATGCTCCAGATCTCGGAAGTTGACGTTTCTATTGTTCCTATCAGACCACATAGAGAGTACTTGCTCTTGATGCTGTATCCGCCGCTTAGTACCTCAATCAGACTGCGTAGCCAGCAATACATACTCCAAGTGTGGCGCCGCAAATTTTCGCCTCCTTCGGGTCGGCAAAAGCATCAAGACGGGATTTCAGGCGTATTTATTGATCGAAACTGCACTAGGCGCGACACTGACAACAGGTTTTGAGTGTGGATGCACGTCAATAGGTGGCCTCGCTCACGGCACGTTCAGGATATAGTTTGCATAGCGATGCTCGTGGCTGTGACGGCGAGACGATGAACCGTGAGAACAAGTACATTGCCAAATCAGGCATCACACGTGGGCGGTGGCGCAGATGTCGTCTGTGAGCAGAGAGATAGTGGAGCTTGGAGGAGAACTTTAAGAGGGAGGCCTCGAGCTCTTCAAGCTCTTGCGCACTCATGATAAGGATGTGGAAGGACAGATAGCGCCCGGGGTATCAAATGCTACAGTCATTGATTTGATCGCGAAGTCCGCAAAGGCGGTCACCATAGCGCAATCCTTCAAGCCCGCATGGGAGGCCCAAGTCCCACAGCGTCCCAGAATCACGGCCCGGAGTGATCATTACCTCCTGTAAGAGCTATATTATAGACTGTTAATGGTGACGGACAGTGTGCCGTGTCGTTCGAGCGCAAATCAACGTGATAGTACAAGCAGAAGAGGCGCAGTGTACGTATCTGCCGCGTGGTACAAGTCGGATATTAGCAAGGTGGTGACATTGACGAGATCCACGAGCAGCGTCATCTTTGGACACAACCATCTGCCAGCCACCAAGAAGATCACCGTGGGAAAGCTGAGTATCGCGGCAACAAAGCGAGATCTCGCATAATGTTTACTCGTGACACCACCGACCAGTCTAGGCTTGCGCCGTCACCTCCAAAGTTCATACAACATCGAAGTGATGTATCGCTAAGATAAATCCTATGCTTATGCAGATGCTAGCTGCAACATTCGCTATCGACGTCATGGGAATCACGTCCACAATGACTCCCATCCTGGCTGTTGAAGTTTTTTGAGGCCCGAAGCGAGAACGACCGACAAAGAGATATCGCGTTTGTCTGTCAAACGCGTAAGGAACATATAGCGACTCGCGCAAAACCTGCGAGGTACTACAAACAATGCCAAATACGATGGCATGCGCTCGCCACAATTCTAAGTGCCAATTTAGCTGTGAGCGCCAGTCATGTCATGCGGAGCCATCATACTATAGTACTTATCTATCAATATTACTCGCAACTGCCAAAACCACGGCACGGGGACACTAGAGACAAAGACTCGCAAGGATGAACGGATGAGGATTGCAAACGCCGCACTAGCAGAACTGAAAGTGTCAATTAGACTATCAGTGCTCCGGCACTGTCAAGCGCCTCCTGCACTCTGACGTTGTGAGAGGCGAGGCACATAAGCAACCACCACCATGCGAAACGCGATCGCCTCTAAATCGACACAGGTAAGTGAAGTATATCCCTAGCCCTTCTCTATGACTCAATTTGTGATGTAGGTTGTTCCGCGACACCGGACAACGTTCCTGGATCTGAACGACGATGTCCTTGCGATGATCGTCTCTGATTTCACTACCAAGGACTGCCTTCAGCTCTCTCTCGTCGCGCGGCGGGTCCATCTACTCGCGAAGCGTCAAGCGCTGTCTTCAGTGACGATGGGGTCGGTGCAGGCCGTCAAGCGCGTCTGCAGGTACATGCTCGAGGATGTGGTCGGCCGCTTGCAGTGGATCCGGCGGTTGTCGGTGTCTGCCTTGATTCCAGACCAGGGCAGTGGCCGCTCCTCGGATTTTTTGCGGAGAGTCTGGCCGAGGAAGGAACCGATAGCCATGGGTCTCCTTGTTTCACTCTTGAAGCAAGCAAATGGGCTTCAATATCTACATGTTGGGTATGTCGACAACAATCTAGAGTTCGACCACGCACTCCTCGATGCTATGTGTGCGCTCCCTAACCTGGTTGAGCTTGAGCTGCTAGGTGGGGGTGGGTCCGAGACCCTGAAGCTGCTTGATGGAATAGGAAGCCGGCCGCGCAGCCTCATGCTAGAGGTACAATCAAACAACGCGGACAGGGATGCAATAATCTCCCAGATCGGGAGGTTCCAGGAACTTCGTACGCTGTGTCTCGATTGAATATACACGCCACAGGACTCTGATAGCACGAATACGGTGCCCTTCATACGCAACCTGCGATACACATGGCCTAATGTTACCGACCTCACCCTGACCCATTGCGAAATCCATCTTCCTGCGGTCCTCCGTGCCTTCCCCAATCTGCGTGCCCTAACATTCGCAGAGTGGGGCAACCTGCGCTTCGCGGTTCCCGACAGGCCAGAATACTCAGTTCAGCCGCGAGGGCCGGCTAGCCTTGAATACGTCGAGGGTAGCGGACACCTATTCGAGAACTGGCCCACTGGGCGCCCTGTGTATCATATTCTCATCCAATCCATGCTCGCAATCCCTAGTCGGTGGGCAATGGACGGGCCCACACGCTGTGGTGATCCCGAGATTCCCATCCTGTTGCAAATGGTGCGCCATGCTGAGCCGGTCATACTCACCTTCCGCATCATGGCGTTCGAATCTCTGAGGGAAACCTTTTGGAAGAGCCTAGCAGCCGGTGCGACCAGATTGCGGTGTCTTGAGATCGAGTTGTTTCTGTTCAGCGAAACGCAGGGCCTCATGTCGGTGTTTCTGCAGTGGATGGTAAGTGTTCTGTGATGATGTGCTTACGCTGCTGAAAATGCATATTCTACAGACCAAAGTACCATCAAGTCTTTCGCCTATCACGTCGTTGTTGTACCTCGAAGTTGCCCTCGATTGCAGCACATGGCGTTGTTTCAGCTGCGGAGAAACCCCGGAGCCTATTCTGGATCAAAGCCAGGAGTGCGCAGAGCGATTCGCATCGCTTGTCGTTGCGCAAATTCCCTCTATTCGCTACGTCTCTCTTGGGTTCGGTCACATGGCATCACATATACATCCCGTACATACCCAGCCATTCACTGGCAAATTGTGGATGTGGAAGGTGGAGAATACTGGAGGAAGGCGCTCGCTCTACCTTGTCTCCCCAAATGCCGCTCAACGGCTGAAGGCGCTGCTGAAATCCCCTCTCCCTTTGTACCCCTCAGCAAGAGAGTAAAGGTGCGCTGCCTTTGAGCAGTATAAAGGACGATCCGGTACCAACCCCTAGCACAGGGGATACGTCCATTTTTAACCATCGAATGAGGCAGAATACAAAGCCTAGGGGCCGTTTTCCATATTGACGGACATACATTGACGACATTTACATTCGTGCTCTACACTGAACACACCCTTTTTCTGAAGAGGCTTCTACAGTATCCCCCATCCTTCACAGCTCGAGTTTGATACGATGATACATCTCTGCACCCTTGCGCATCTCGTCAGCGCTCTCCGGAGGCGCCGGTCGCCCGTCCAGCCCATACGCCTCGACACCAACGTACTCAAACGGCGGGACCGCGGGCGGGACACAATGTACGGCCTTGACGCCGTAGTCTTCGTATGTCCACGCGTCGCCTGGTCGCTCAGGCGGGGCGAGCAGGATGGCGTTCAGTGCGTCCATGGAGATGTCCTCATCAAAGTAGTTGAGCGGGGTTAGGAAGAAACTGGGGAAAGAACCACCGTGGCATCAGCACTTATGTACATACACAAACCTCGGAAAGCCTACCTCGACGTTGCTAAATTCGTGCGTGTATTAGGGGCGTCTTCGGCTTGCGGCTGCACACGGATGTATAAGCGAACACTTCGTGCTCCGTGAATGCAAGCGTACCAGATGGTGCATGCCCACGTTGATCCACGCGACGAGGTCCTCCTGCGTGATGTTCTCTCCGTCGAAGAACTTGTGGAAGTCCACCATGGGTGCTCCAGGCAGGTTCTGGTTCCACATGCTGCTCGACGACGGCTCTGTTTCCTTGCGACGCGATACCGCAAGGTTGTACCGCGCCCAGTTCGCGTTGTTCAGGAGGCGCTTCGAGCCAACCACAGTCTGTAGCACCTTAGCATCAACAACAAAGCCCGGGGTGGACGACGGAAGACACACGTTGTAGATGGGCGAGTACCCAGGGTGGACAGCGTACCCACGTGCGATACCCCACCGGTTGAGTGCTTCTGTATTCACGAGCGCGTACCCGCCCTGGAAGTTCTGCGGGTACCGGAGAAGCGCGTCGTTCTCATTCTCGATGATCTTCCGAGTGATCTTCTGCTGGAGAACCGTGCTGCCCCAGTCGTCCTCGAACCACGGCTGCGAGACTTCCTCCTGCGCGGTGTTCGTGAACAGAAGCGAGTTCTTTGGGCCAGCGATATCCAAATCTACCTGCAGCGTTGTGAGCGACACAACGGTCAGGATCTCCTAGCCCTTACCTTGAAGTTGATGACATGGTCGTGCAGCGAGCCCACTGAGAAACAGCCATCAGTATTGTACGCGATGACGACTCGGAATCTTGCTTACTAGTGGTGTCGCGGATGGCGGTGCCGTATCCTTCTTGCGTCGACTCCCAGAAACCACCCTGGAGGTACCCAGACGCAGACAACTTGACTTCGATAGTGCCATCGAGTTGGAAAATGTAGTCGAACTGAACGATATCAGCCTGTGTCGATGATACCAGAAATAAGGGTACATACCACTGCAAATAAGAATTAAGCCATACACTACAGTCAATATCCATCTCAATATCGACACTGAATGAACCTACGGTAATCGTAGCTAGACAAACAATTAACTGCTGCATTCAGGACAGAAAATACGCGCACTCACTTCCCAACGGTCGAGATACTGCGCACGACCAACACGTAGCCTTTCACGGCGCCGAACTCGCCTTGGCTGTATCCCATGTGCCGCGTAATTGGGCGGCCAGTGTCGTGCTCGAAGATGCAGATTGCCCTCTGCCGCGTTACACTACCAGTAAAGCCGTGTGTCGTCGCAGGGAGGAACACCGCCTCGTGCGGGCAGTCGTATCCTGGAAGCATGTCACGTACAGAGCCACCCTGTACGTGAAAATTATCAGATGTCATGCTCGAACTGGAACGTGCTCAGCTCACCATGCCAAAGTAGCGGTCGAGCCATGCGGTGCTCGACTGCATCGGGTCATTGCCAGCTGTGCGAGTGATATGAGCCGACGTAACTCGTTGAGAAGCAGATATACGTACCGTACTGTGCAATGGCCTCTTGCGGGGCAAGCTACACCAGCAATCAAAAAATTCGCACTCCCCCCAGGATGATCTGACTCACCTCATAGATCAGCCGCTCTCCCTTGAACCGAATGTCCCACAAACTCAACCCCATGTCACGATCAAAGCCCAGGTACATGCCCCAGCCCATCCAACTGATGTACTGCGTCGCGCGGTCTACGCGGAAGCGCAGTCCTGCGAACGACACTGCGCGCGGGCCAGGGAGATGGTCCAGGTCACGCGGCGTTGTATCTGGTCGCGTGCGCGACGTCCATTCGACGTCCTTGCTGTCAGGTCGCTTGGGAAGACGCTTGAGCGAGCCGCCGTGGAAGGCAGTCATGAACTCCTCCACGCTATCGAAGACTTGATGGTTGTACACGATCTGTAACGGACCTGTGAGCAGAGAATGAATGGGAATACAGCGAACGTACCTTCAACAGCCTCCACTCGCGTGGGTCCGTGCCAGACATATCAATGTAGAGGAAGAATCCGACGGGGTGCAGCCAGAGACCCGGAACGTTGCGCCGCCAGTTGATCCATGTACGGCGGAAGGTGCCGTCGAAGCTGAGTGGCCCGACGGCGCCTGCGACGAGAGTGTCGTTCGGGAGGCCGAGTGCGACGCCATCAAACAATTCCTGCACGGCTCAGGATCGCTAGACGCGCCAGGATGATCGATCGACACACCTTTGTTGCCTCTGCGAGCGACGGCATGATGTCCGTCAGGATCGGATTGATCTCAGCAAGCGTCGTGTATCCTCGCGCATTATACGGGATCGCATCGCGATGATAAACCTCGGTTAGCTCACGTATGCCCGTCTTCCCGTCAATTGGGAGAGGCCCAATGAGGTAGTCCTGCACGTATGGTTCGGCGGCTGCGCCGTGGTGGATCGTCACGCGTGCATAGCGATCGGGTGGACCATGAGCAGAGGGATCATCGAGGTAGAACAGAGCGTCTGCCTTTGCTGGGCGGAACGCGCCGATGTGATAGATGAAGTTGTCAGCGATCGACACGCGGCTGCCAGGAGTGAGATTCAGGGCTCGCTCGGGCGCGTCGAGCCAGTCTGCGATTGCGACAGTCTCGAGGACAGTCAATGATGCCCAGGGATTCACAGGCGCAGGAGGCGTCGCATGCGGTGGCAGCCCGGACGCACATTGCTTGAGAGGCTCGTCGTCCACGTCACTGAACGGCAATTCGGGGGGCGTACGAAGGTACGGCGGGACGGCATAGTACGCAGAAAGCGCAGCTGTGGCGAAGATGAAGAAGACGCCATATATCAAGCGCCGAGAACGAGGTGGAGGACGGGTCTCCTCTTCGAGGACATCCACGCTTTTAAGCGGCTGGTACCCGGCAGCCATTATTGCTCCTCGTCGACGGCGACGAGACGACAGGAGGGTTAGCCGTTCGTCTCGCGGTGGGAGCGTGCACGCTGAGTATAAAAGCAAGAGACGGTGACTCAGCCGGTGCCGTTCACATATCGCTGCGGCCTGGAGCAAGATTGCAAGGCCTATCTTCAGACGAGATACGAGGCCAAGCGTTCCGCCGTGGGGCAGCGACTCGATTCATCGCGGAACCGGGATGCCTGATCTCCAGCGCCTAGATACACGCGCATCGCGCGCTGGGCGCCGTATTCAAACCAAACTATGATTATCGAGGACATGCCATGTACTATTGGCGGTGAATACATGCTAACCTCGGGGTTGACGTCGTCGTATAGATACAAGTTCCCAGACTTTTTTTTCCTGTGTGGCCCGGGCAATGTTTCTGTTCAACCCTCCATCACAGTCACGGTGACTCGCCGGGCGCCTGCGCGTCCTGACACGGTCCCGTGACTGACCTCTGCATCAAGTCGCGGCGAGAACTCATTCCCCACCTCGCGACATTTGCTCGGTACTTAAAATGTGACGTTGGACCTACTGTATGAGAAAAAGTACAACTATTGAGCGGAGACGATGCCACTGCTACATCTACGGGCGCTAGTTCCTACCTTCCGTGGTTGTGAGAACCATGTCTCTGAATCTCGTGCATTTTCTGTGTGGGTGCGCTCTCTGACAGGGTGTTATTGGATATATGATATTGACACGAGAAACTCCTTCAAATTCCAGGAAAACAGCAGGCGTTACTTATACAGCAGATAAAAACAAAACGACTGTAGCGATGGAAGTGTTGAACGAACAAAGGTTCTAACCATAGTAGAAACCAGGGAAGCGATATGTACATGCCTGAGGATGTTCAGAGAAGACACACAAAATTGAGGCTCGTTGGCCGGTTCCTACGAGGTGACTCGCCGTAGTGGACGTGGCTATCGCTCGAAACAGTTCCGCCTCATCCCTCTGCCCTGAACACTGCCTTCATATCCCTACACGCCATTTCTCTACAAGTGCAGGATGGGAAACGTGTGAGAGAGCTGGGGAGGGCGCCACGCGCTCGTCCGCTTCTTTGTCAAGGTAGGCCTTGCATCGGTATTGGATGGATGGGTTAAGCCGTAGGCACTAAGGATTGTATAGGGTCGTGTGTGATATTGCGAGAGATGACGAGATGTAGGATACATAAGGGACAAATAAACATGAAAGAGCAGATATCAGCGCAAGGAACGACGCTACAACAGAGAACTCACCCAAAGCAATATTGATCCTGCACGACGCTGTGACATAATGAACCCTCTTGCCGAGCGGTCTGTCAAGGTCAGCCGATTCCAGGCTGCGCGCAGCCATGGAGCATGCGGCAACGTGCCCGCCGCAAAGGTCAGCTGGTTCGGCTTGTGATACGTTCGTGTCTTCCAGCCTGCTGGAGCCGTGCATAGGTACCACGACTGAGGTGAGCGCGTTTTGGTATGTGGCGGTTGCTGTGCGATCGCTAAGGTTTGGCACAATGCTCATGAGAAACGAAGCGCACCTGCATCCCGCCATACATCTCGGTCTCTTGGCTATTCGCTAATATGTAGGACAGGAACGGGTTAGTCGAGGTCAAATAACCCCGAGTATACGTAACAGACACCCATGAGCACGAGTCGTTATGCTCGAGGGCAGGAGACGCTTCCGAGAGCAAAGTGCCAACCCAGAACTGAAGGAAAAATAAGATCATACTGGCCTTCTAATGAATAAGGCGAGACAAAAAGCAATATTCACAGCATCCACCTGTGCCGCAGCGAGAGCTCCCGGCAACGTCGAGATATCCAGCGGGATGAGTAAGCAGCAAGACAACTGCCTCGGCACGTAGTCAGCATATCATTAGCGAGAAAAACATCAGCAAGCAGAGCAGTACAAGGGGATAGCAAGTAGGATAGCAGAGCCACAGGGAACATAAGAGGATGACTACGAGGAGACGAACGATGGATCTGATCATGGTGATCTTGAGTCCGTCAAGAAAAGGCGCACTTGCTATTTCTGACAGGAAACGCAGATACAGATGAGCAGTCACGAATCTGAGAGGCATTACCACTCACCGTGAAGCACGACCCACGATCATAGCTCCAACGACACTACACCCATGTCCTGCTCAGCCATGCACGTTCCCGCCGTATGCTTTCCTAACCTTGGCCTACGAAATGTGGTATGGCAGGTCCGATGACTATAGTGTTAGGAATAGGCAAGCATCGTAGCGGGCTGAGACGCACCGCACGGAGAAGCGAGATGGTCGAGAAATAATATACCCGCTCGCCGATGTACTCGTCAAAATAGCTCTACACGGCCCGAGTAGTGACGGCGAGCGGTCCCGCAGGTAGACCGGCCGACGGAACGGGCACGCGCCGGAACGCAGCACAATTGGAGGCCGTTTACAGAATGAAGGGGTCGTGCGAAAGAGAGCCATGTGAGAGAGTAATCAATTTTCGAGACGGAATGTGGTGTAGTAGGAATGCTCACCCGGTATACGTTGAACCTCTCACACGTCGGGAAGGGATGGTAGCGTTGCATGTACACCGCCCGATAGGCAGGCAGCCGGCCAGAGCCATGCGCAGGCGGGACGGCGTTCATGCTGATGACGGCAGAATAGGTTATGATTATGCCTTGCGATTGACTTGCAGTAGCGACAACGAGTTAAAGCTACAAACACGGGGAGAATGGCTGCAGACGCACCTTTTGCACTTCAGCAAACAAACGACCAAAGCTGGTCGTCGACTCAGGAGAGAACCGAGTAGCGGCGAGAGAGAACAGGCCGGAACGCAGCAGGGCTTATCAGGCGCGGCAGGGATGAACGTAAATGGAGTAAATTTGAGGAAGCAATGTTGATCGGAGCGTCGCCGCGACACAAATGGACACCTGGCCGAGCCTTTTGAGGCCAGCCGATGCCTGCGTATTGCCATAATACCGCGACGCGAGGTAACGTGTTCACCCCAGATATCGCCTGCAAGCACATGGAATGTCTTCGGAACAGCTAAACCAAAGCAACGCCCAAGATGTGGTGTAGTTTCGACGGTATCCAACGGTGTTGATCCCAGGAGAAAAAGTGGCCTACGCCTCGCCGCTCAATGTCCTGACTCCATGTTCCCTTGGCGACAGTGCATACGGCTGTGGGCGGTGACGGAAGGATGACACGTCGTCTGGTCCCTTCGCCATCTCGTAGCGCAGCCTGCAAAGGCATGTCCGAGGGTGACAGCTACCACCACGGCCGCTGCATATGTCTGGCAATTGACTCCAAATGTGCTGATTGGGGCCCGCGTGAGAGTGCACGAGCACTGGGAACCCCAAACAGAGAAAGAGGCGAGGATAGGCGCACCTATTGTTTACGGCATCTCAGAAACATGCAGAGGCACGTTTAGTGATGTTAGTGGTGGGCATACGCGCATGAGGAACTGTAGGCCACGAATCTGGGCACATTATGCTGGAAAAAATGACGCGCAAGCTCGGACATTGCCGAGTTGCGTAGTCAAGCGAGAGCATCCCGGACCACAGTGGTTTCGTGTCGCTGGCACATCCTGATTGGCGGGAACGAGTGCCCTAGTGAAATACAGAAATAGAGAGGTATCACATGTAAGAACCCCGGCATTAAGAATGTAAATAAGTAAAACTCACGCGCAGAGGGGTGAGAAAGTTGAGAAAGCACGTTGGTGGCATCAGTTGAAACAGTGAAGGGTGCCGTAGAAGAGTGTTGTAGGACAGTGAAGAGCTGGGTAAAAGTTCTGCGGGCTCGGGAGCTGTGGCCTCGTTGTCATCCGCCTTTCAGAAGGTGGTGATGGCCTGCACTCACCGGAAAACTGGTAATGTTTTGTGTCCTCTTGACATGACTTTGTATTGCACTCACTGTGTGTTAGATGATCCACAAATTGCACGTGGCATGACCAAAGGTTTGCCAGCGGACTTTGGGTGAGTGATGGAATTACTTGCCGAGATCATGCGAAAGGCTTTAGTGTTGGACTCACGTTCTACAAGACTCTTGCATAACACACAATAATTGGTGCTGCTGCTATTATACCAACTGGAAATGTGCAAGTTAGGGCTTGAAATCATCAAGTTGAGCCATGCTGGGCCCGATAGGCCGGGCCCAACTCGGGCCTGCAAGACATCCTGTGATGGCTTGAGGCCAGATTCACCGTGCTGGTAGTTCGAGGTTGAGCTGTGGGGTGACAGCTCTGGTGGCACCAGAAAGGGCGAAGGGTGTGCAATACAGTGGAGACACACACCTCAAAAGAAAATGAAATGCACAATAACCTTACTAATTTGTCCAATTGTAAGTAGGCTCTTATATTCCTGAAGGCAAGCACTCACCAGTGTATCTTCAGTACAACTATATACGTGGAAAGGGGAAAACACTTGCAATTGAAACAGATCACCCTGAATTGTCTTTCTTGGAACATCAACATGCAGAAGTGTGGAAAATGGTATGTCGGTCACTAGCACCATTATGTTCTTTGTTACTTGAACGCACTTGAACTTACTTGAACTCACCTCTGTACTCGGGTGAGCTGCAGCCTGAGCCTAAGCCGAGCCGTAGCCGGGTCAAGCTGAGCACATCATTAACACCAACCTGCTGATGTGAAGGCCTCTGGTCTTGAACAAATCCCTGCCCGGAGCACCTGGAACACAATGTGGTACCGAACAAAAGCAGACAACACCAGGTTTCGGTCTGGACCATACAGAGGCACAATGCCAGTGATTAGGAAAAGTAAAAAAACAGCGCTGTTTACAGATTGAGATGCTTGCACAGGGCTAGGCATCCAACTATGACCAGGGTTCAGCAGATTATCCCGGACATGAAGGCCAATTCACAAATCGAGGTGCTGTGATTGCATGAAGACGTCGGAAAGCTGGAAAGCATCTGCGCAATGCCGCCACTCGCACCGGAAAGGGTTTTCCTGAAAGCAGAAGGTGGATGAGATTGAGTAACCGTATTACGGTGGAGGCCCTGCGCTGTCTGAAGAAGGTAGCTTGCGGTATCCTCCACTATCGAGGCTAGGAGGTCCGAGGTAAATCCCGAAGGACGTGGGCACGAAGGAAAAACAACGATGTCCGGGCATGCGCGAGGGGGGCCGACGGTCATACAGAGCCCGGGAGTTAGGGCCAAATGTTACTAGCTCGGCCGGTCTTGGATAAGATATCCAGGATGCTTCAATTGTTGTATATAATATTTAATTCTGTACTCCGATGCTGTAAGACGCTTCAATTGCTGTATATAGTATTCAATCCGATGCTGTAAGACGCTTCAATTGTTGTATATAGTATTTAATTCTGTACTCCGATGCTGTAAGACGCTTTGATTGCCATATGTAGTATCTAATTTACACCCCGGTGCTGTAAGACGACGCCGTGTACACATTTTGTTCTTCATGAAGTATAACATTCCAATTCCACTCGACAGTCGCCAACAGACCCGTGAGGTCTACTTTGCACGCGCTCTAATACTATTATTGTAAACAAAGGGCAGTCCGCCCATTGGTCTCAAGTAAAGTCCCCTGAGCGCGACATGCTGTTGGTGCGGACGAGTGGGGGGACCTCGTGAGGCCGACGTGCGAATACGGTGTGAGAAAGGCTGCTGGCACAGGCAGCGGTGAGCATTGTCAAACGCGTCCGCTCGTCTGTGCCGCATCCGCATACGAGAAGAATGTTAACGAAGGAAACGGTGCAGCGTATCTGAGTCGCAGCGGCCAGAGTAATACTACTACATGCTCCCTAGCACGATAATGCGACCGAGCGGGATCTAATCAAAAGTCAAGAGGATGCACGTCATGGTGCCTCTAGCACATTCGATACATAGACATGGCATATATTCCACATGCGAAGGAGTTATGTCGGCGACTATAATTCTTCATAGCCGATTCCGTAGACATGCGGGGACAAACCGCACGGCGGAGACGAGTGTTCCGCATGCGGAGCAGTGCATCGCTCGCAGACAGGGATGGAAAAGCGACACGACGCTGCCGTGCGCAAATCGTCAAACGCGTCTGCCGCGAACATTGCGTTCGCTAGTCTGTGCGCTTATACCGGGAGCGAGCCCTTGGAACCGGAGCGCGAGGGTTTGGAGAGGACGCACCGGCAGCGCGGCGATATAACCGCAGGTGGCTGCGAGCGACATACGGCGGGAGAAAGCGCACTTGAAGTCGCAGAGCGGCGGGTGCGGCCGCACTCTACTACGGCGCGTTCATTAACGGCACATGGATATCTGAAAACAAGAAAACAATAGACATGGATATGGACTTATCTTCGGGATATGCCGGAGCGTGAGACAGGAAAGGCAGAAAGCGACGCTGGCTCGCTCCAACTGATCATGGCCTCGTCCTCGTCGTCCTTCTCCTTCTCCTCATCCTCATCCCCGTCCTCGTCGTCGCCCGCAACAGCCACCCATACCCCCGCCGACACCATCATGGCCGCAGAGCTCCGTCATATCACCTCCAACACCAACCTTGTGAGCCCCGCCCGCGAGCGCAGACTCTCCAACCGCAACTCCCAACTCCTCCGCACACATCGCCTCGGCTCCCGCTCTCCTTCTTCTATCCCTTCCTCCCCAACTTCTGTGTGAGTACTCAACGCCCTCATCGTCCGTATATCCTCTTTTAGAGCGCATTTTTGTGCGCATACACGACTGCGTTTTCCAGCTTCCGCCGATGGGCGGTGTAGTCTGGGATGTCTACATCGTCCACCGCTCTGTTGCCCGTCAGCTGAGGCCTGACCGTGTGCCCTGTACGTTGACACCGTCCATTTACTCGTTTTGCCTGTGTACCAGTGCGGGTGCGAGCGTGCCTGTCACTTGATCCTCGCATCGCGGACCAGGCGTAACTTTACGTGTTCATGGGGTTCATGCTGTCATGCCTACTCTGTTCTTATAGCATGCAGCACAACGCATCCGTCCGTTGAGCGTCGTCGCGAGGCCAAGCATCAGCTGCTGCCGTCGACCGCATACGCTAGTTGCCCGCATAGGCAGCAGAGTCGTATTAGCACCCGTTGATCTGGCTATATTATGCCACTTGGGCAATTAGGGGCATCACGCAGTGTAACCCTGCCTTGTATCACGTCTTCAATACACCTTCCTGTGCTGACCATCCTCTCCACAGCCATTCCTCCTCTTCCGCCATCTTCGAGCGCGACATCGAGCCCATCGCGCCGGCCTGCGCGTCCCTTTCCACCCCCACCGACCCCCACCGCATCCCGCGCGGCCGTATCACCGAGCAAATCGAGCACTCTGTTCCCTCCGTCCTCGACTCTGCCGTTGTCGTCCTCACTGCAGATTCCACAGATCCGGATGAGCTCGACTCCATCTCCATCATCGCCCCCGCCCTCCCCGATGCCGGCTACCGCTCCGGCTTCACCAGCCCCATCTCCCGCATGAGCTCCCGCAGCCCCAGCCCCAGCGCACCGCCGCACCGCCGCAGCCTCCTCCTCAGCGCGAGCCCGCCCCAGAGTACCTCGCCCCTGACTGCTTCCCCGCCTCTGCGCCCCACCGTGCACACTGTCAACGCGACCGCACCCGCACCCGCGCATGTGCACGCCCTCGGCCCCCCCGCGACGCCGACGTCCGCGTACTTCTCCGCTGCGTCGAGCTCGCCCCCGTCCGGTGCTAGCTCCGCCTCGTCCTCGCCGACCACCGCGACGCACACTGAGCACCCCTTGCACACGCTCTCCTCGCCGTCGACCGCCGCGTCCTCGCCCGCCGCGGCCACCCCGGCGACGGTCACGGTCCCCCCGCCCGCATCGCCCCACACGTACGCGTACGCGCACCCGCCGTCGCCCGCGCACACGAACAAGCGGCTTTCGTTCCTCTCGTACATGGACCTCCTCAGCAGCACCCCCGCGAGCACGCTCCCGCTGAGCAGCCTCACGGGTGCGAGCGCCGCTGATCCGCCGCACCTTCCCAGCGTGCTCGGCCTCCCGCAGGCGCAGTACGCGGCGAGCAGCGCCGCGGGCAGCGTGTTTGGCGGATGTGGCGCGGGCGCGGGCGGGGACAACATGCTGGACGACGTCGGCGGTGAGTGGGAGCGCGAGGGTCTCGGAAGGGGCCTTGAGGAGCGCCTGGAGGCGCTGAATGCGGCGCCGTCGGTCGTGCATGGGCGCGCCTAGTCCTCTAGCGGCGATGCTGTGCCGGACGGTGCCTGGCTGTCTCTCTGCGATCGGTTTCGGTGTTCTTGTGCTTGTGCTTTCCCGTTCGAGGTGTGCGTGCGTTGGGCCGCTCCCCTGGTTTCTGATCGCTGTTCCCGAGGACTACCGTATGCCCCTCCTAATCCCAATACTTCACGACGACCCCTTACGCCTTTGCCGGCGCGGGGATGATGATTCCTGCCTCTTCCTGACGCGCGCGCGCGCTGTTGTTTATCCTATACCCGACAGTGTGCTTGTAATTCTTTTTCTTTCGTACTATTACTACCGACGGGCGAGGTACCTGCGTGGCGATGTATGTGTGTATGTATGTGCGTGTGCTTGTTGTGAATGGACGCTGTCCGTTATCAATGTCCGTTTAGACGGCGAGGGCGTGAGATTGCGAGTGTCGAGGGCGGCAGCCCAGGGTAGGTCCTCGCGCCTGGGAGGTGCGTACGCCGGGAGCGTCCCAAGGATCGGGCGGCGTGACGTCAACCAACGGAGGCTGATCTCCCACCGATCGATTCCGTGTGGCGGTCAGTACCGCGCCATGCAAGTCATCCACCCGCAGATCCCTCCTGACAACGCCTGCCCAAGAATAACCTTTTGCAAAGCATTATTGCGGCCAGTCAGTGCGCTTTTCACGGACACCGAAAAGAAAACATCGAGGCCCTGGGCGGGCAATGCGTATGTATGGAACCTCGGAGGAATTCCACCGTCCGGCACACGAAATGTGAGATGTCCGCCGTGAGATGCGCTAGCCTTCATAGGTTGCCCGCGGACAGGGAGACTTACCCACACGGTGTGGCAGCGCAGTGTGTGGTTGGCTTCTGGGGGCGTCGGGCGAGCGTCGCCGCGGGAGCGAGTGGGAGATGTACTCGTGTAGCATGTTCTCTGCCGGCGGCCGCTCTGGCGTCATCCTCTCAATGTGCAGTCTGGTTCGGAGATGGTCTGGGGACAGTCGGAGCTAGCTAGCATATAGTACAAGTAAATTGTGGCTGATGCATTCGACGGCATCAGTGTAGGCTGGGTAAAATACCGGTGTGTATTGGTGAACTGTCTTGCCCAGGAAAACACGATGCAGGTGATGTACAGATCGGCAGCGTGGGGGAAACGAGCGACGCGCACGCACTCAACTCTTGTATCATGTGCCGACGACAATACATCAATGAAAACTCGACGATAGAACGAAGAGCTCACCTAATGTGCGCGATGCCCGAGCTCGCTCAGAGAACGTGGAGGTACGAGGGAAAGGGAGAAGATGGATTGCAAGATGCCGGGTCCTCTGTTTAAGGAGACAAGACACATGATCCAGCAGAAGCTTCGAAACAGCGAGTATAGCGTCCGTAAAAACAGGATCGTGATCGGCACAAAAACCGTAAGATGCATGCTAACTTGAGATAGGAGACCTGTCCTGGGCAGAGACAAGCTAGACCTGAAGCGTTTGGTCCGAGTCCACAACCGACGCCGCATATTTTCGTATGTCACCTGCCGCCCCCGTCGCCGATCACCTTGGGCACTGTCTTCGCAAGCCTGAGAGTCGGAGGAGATTGAGGAATGTACGCACTATGGGTTTCCGACCGCTCGGGAATACAGAACGGAGGGAAGATGTAGAAGAAAACGGGTTTCAACCACCACGTTGAGTACTGTTGACAGACGTTCGCCGTGCGCAATGCCGTCGGTTTTGTGTGCTGATGATTGGTGATCGGATCGCTGACGTTCGTTCCCCTTCCACAGCACAGGATGCACGACGCATGCTCTGTTCGCTGGCCTGGGTAGAACAAGCACAGAGGCCGTTGAGCGCGTCTTGAGAACAGGGGAGACGTTTGTGCCCATCGGGCGGCGGACGGGGAGCGTCGTGGTGTGCGCGGTCTGACGAGGAAGGGATGCGCTTCGCGTCCTAGCATCGAGGCTTGAAGACCTTCGACCGGGAGCGTGAGCTGCTGATGGCGATGAAGGTGGCGTCATCTTCAGAGGGTGGTTGTGATGCTGGAGAACATCGGTGCCACGAGCAGCCTGAGGGATCCGGAGAACATCGAGGCAGAGCAAGTTGCGTGTTCGGAGCACACGCCACGAGAACCAGGATGCTGCGTGAACGTGAACGTGCAGAGTAAGAGCGGTAGCGCGTCGCGAGGACGTACACAACGATCTAGCAAATTGCGCGCCTTCATCGAGCTTCTTGCGCGTATGAATAACGCTAGTGTTGGGCTGTATCTGGTACATGACGGGCTGCGTCTTCATAACGTCTCCTGCGCGCGGGGGATTCAAGATCAGGGCATATAGCCAATATTTGGAGGAGGGTCAGCCTGCGCGAACAAAGGCGAGAACGCACAAATCGGAGTTTCACATGATCTTCCATGGCTACTAGCTCGCTACATGGTCGGGCCTCCGTTGTCTGGGGGGCGATTGAGGCCGGGAGGGTCGCCAACCATCTAAATCGCCTGCCCCCTATTCGTCAACGGGCGCACCATCTACAGGCTGCTGCCCGCTGACACACCGGTTCTTAATCGTTTACCTTGCTTCTGGGCTCAAATGCTGTGCGCCACCCGTATTCCCCGCTGCTCGACGCGATTTGCAGCGTCCAATCTGAACTTGATCGTCGGACGGGGGGTAGCAAGGCGGGATGTGAGAACAACTGCAGAGGTTGTGTATTCACGCAATACAGGCGTGAGGATATTTTACGGACATGTAATCATGGAACGCACCTGAGGATGGATGACGGGGTGGTTTCCGAATGCAACGTTTGAACCATTGGCGCTCCTAAGAACCCGAACGCGGGCGCCCTTTCGCAGGACGATGTCGTCGCGTCGCGAGCTGTAAGAGACTCGTGATACAAGACCCTTCTCCCGCACGCCATTGGAGGGTTACAGCCGACGGCGATAAGGGCAGACTGAGTGAGAGCACAGGAAGGCTTGTGAACGAGCGAGCACAGGTAGGCGGACTGGTCACCTGTGAGGACAAGAAGAGCAACAGCATTGGGGCACAGCTTGCGCGCGTCTTATCAGCGGGCAGACGGAGAAGACGGCGGTGGAATGGAAGCCATGTCCGCGCAGAAGCAGAGCGTGATGTCATGCGCCATCTCGGCCTCACTTTGGAATGCCAAGTACACTGGCTGCGCTGTCCGTGACAGCTGGGAGGCGGGCCAAGACGGGCAAAGGAGAGCAGGCGAGCTAGCGCAGGGTTAGGCGAGCAGACGCGATGACGCGGTCAACGCGATCGGGCGATGTCGATCAATGGGGGTCAGCCTTGAGCGCGTTAGGGTTCGCTCTCAAAATGCGTCATGGCGCTCAGATAACACTAGCGGCCTGCCCTCCGCCTCTCCGCCCCCCTCCCCTCTCTCTCAGCTCGCCACCCGCCCCGATGTCCACGCCATGTCCCCCCATCGACGGCGACGCGTCGGGCGACGACTACTCCCCGCCAGGGCCTCCGCCAAGTGACCCCTCTGCCCGCCCTTCTCTCTCGGACGACTCACGCCCAATCTCAGACGACTCGCGGCCCAGCTCGCGCCAGGCGTCCACAGCGGCACCCTTGCTGCGTTCGTCGCGTCTGTCTGCTCCCGGGCTCTCCCCGCTCAATCCTCACAGCTCGCTCGTCGTTCGCCCCCGCACTCGTTCCACCAACGACGCCCTCATTCGCCGCATCGCGTCCGGCGACGCACACGCTCTCGCTTCTCCTTCTCGCGGCTCTATGATTCTCTACCGCCTCGCTACCGAACCTCACGATTCCGATAGCCTCCCAGAGCCTCCCCGCCTCTCAGACAACCGCAAGTCCTCCTCCGGCGAGTCGGTCATCACCCTCTCTTACGACTCAAAGTACCCCGCCGGCAGCTCCACCCGCCAGAGCGCGTTCATCCCGTACGCGTTCGATCCCTGGGCCGACGCCAAGGACGAGCCCGAGGACGACGACTACCTCTACGAGCCTGGCTATGGCGATGACCGTGCGTCCTTCCGCGTGCGCTCTTGGCGCGGCCTTCTAAACGTCACTCTCCTCGTCTCCGTCATAACCGCCCTCGTCGCCCTCTTTATCTGCTACCCCGTGGTCAGCTTCTACCGCGGTGACTCTTACAATCGCGCCATCAACGCCAATGCGGCCGTTAATGGCACCGGCCAGGCCGCGTCCATCGCAAAGGCATCTACGCTGTGAGTGTTTCTTCGTCCTCTCCCGTTCGCTGACCACAACAGCGCCCAGCTTCGCCCTACGCGACGTCATCGACCCCGATACGCCGCAGGACGCGCGCACGCGCACGGGCTTTGACGGGCAGCCCTACGTCCTCGTCTTTTCCGACGAGTTCAACACTGACGGCCGCTCTTTCTACCCCGGCGACGACCCGTACTGGGAGGCCGCCGACCTCTGGTACGGCGCGACCAACGACCTCGAGTGGTACGCCCCAGAGCAGGTCACGACCGCCGGCGGGGCGCTGCACATCACCCTCGAGCAGGTCGAGCCAGGCGCCGCCGACAGCCATGCGCTCGGGTATCGGAGCGGCATGCTTCAGAGCTGGAACAAGTTTTGCTTCAGCGGCGGTTACATCGAGGTCGCCTTGACCCTCCCGGGGCCGGACTCGGACACCCAGGGATACGTGAGTAGCTCGCCCGCTGTGCGCCTGCGCCTTCTGACGCGCCCCAGTGGCCCGCTGCCTGGACGCTTGGCAACCTCGGCCGCGCGGGCTACCGAGCGACGACGGACGGCACATGGCCATACTCGTGAGTCCCCACCGCGCGAGTTGTGCGCTCGCCCTGACCGTGAGCGGCACGTAGATACGACACGTGCGACGTCGGCACGTTCCCGAACCAGACGTGGGCCAACGGCACCGGGCCCGCCGCGGCGCTCCACTCGGACGCGTCCAAGGAGCAGTACGACTATGAGCTGTCGTGGCTCCCCGGACAACGCCTCTCGTGAGTCGCCCGCGTTGGCGCATATTGGCGTGCTGCTGACAGGCGCGAGTCGCAGCGCGTGCACGTGTGCGGGCGAGGACCACCCGGGGCCGGACGTCGCCAGGGGCCGCGGCGCGCCCGAGATCGACATCCTCGAGGCGGAGCGCAACAAGACCGGCCGCGGCCAGGTCGTGTCGCAGTCGGCCCAGTTTGCGCCGTTCAACAGCGACTACGCGTTCGATGCCCAGGGCGACGCGTACACCGTGTACGACGCGGGCCGCACGAGGGCCAACGGGTACAGGTGCGTGCTATGCGCGCCGTGCGCCGTGTCCCGCGGATGCTGAATTTGCTATGGCGCGTGCGCAGGGGCTCGCCGTTGTGAGTGCGGCGGTCGTGGCGCGCTGGCGGGCACTGACGGCGGAACACAGGCAGCAGGCCGTCTCGGCGCTGACGGACCTTCCGGACGACATGTTCCAGGGCTCGGGGCAGGTCTTCACAACCCTCGGTGAGCACGGCAGATGCGCATGGCGCCGCGGCGGCCTGATCGCTGTGCATGCAGGCTTCGAGTACTGGACAGATCCCGCACGCCCGCAAGACGGCTTCATCACCTGGCAGACGGCCGGCGAGCCCTCCGCCACGATGCGCGCGCCCGCTGTCGGGCCCGACGCGCAGTCGATGATCGGCCAGCGACTCGTATCGGAGGAGCCCATGGTCAGTCCTCCTTTCGCTGGCACGTGCGCGCGCTGACGTGCGGCAGTCCATCGTCCTCAACCTCGGCCTCTCGCGTGCGTGCTCCCGTTCGTCTCTGCGCGCGCGCGCGCGCTGACGCCCGTCCCAGATAACTGGCAGGACATCGACCCCGCGACGATGCTGTTCCCCGCGGCGATGCTCGTCGACTACGTGCGCGTGTACCAGCGCGCGAACGAGACGAACGTCGGCTGCAGCCCGGCGGCGTATCCGACCGCGGAGTACATCGCGGCGCATATGGACGCCTACTCGAGTGCGTCGCCCCGTGCGCGCGCGTCTGTCTGCACGCCGCGAGCTGACGCGTTTGCGCAGATCCGAACTTGACGAGCTGGGCGGGCCCGGGGCCGGCCAGCGCGGGGTATTCCTGGCCAAAGAACGGGCTCGTGAGTGATGATGCGCTCTACTCGTGCGATGATGCTGATGGCCGTGTCGCTGCGCAGTACGAGGGCGGCTGCTGATGTCACCACACGATCGTTTTCTGATGCCTCTACGAACATTTTTATCGATACCCTATTGCTCCGGAACCCGGAAGGATAGTTGTAGCTGCTCACATCTGTTTGTGCTAGTACTGCGCATGTACATCACTCCTTGGACTTGCCTGTAGATGATGTCTCACTGTACGGCGGTCAGCCACACATGTAAAAGCGAATGTAGATTGTAGACCATCTTTGGAGCATGCAATGAAGTCGATACACGAGTGGTGACAGTGACCCGGGGGCCACCAATGCTCGCTCGCTGCGACCATCCTGCTTGCGCTGCTTTCTTGTCTCTGCTCCTGATTGCTCTCATGGCTTGCAATAGTATCCAGGCCCTAGAACTACACCATGCTCCCGAAATTCCAGTCGTCATGTCTGTCACCTCCGCCGCACGAAAGGACCGGAGCGCAAGCAGCGCCAAGGATGTGAATGCGGAGGTTAGTGCTGGGGCCCCCCAGCAACGTGAAGGGCTAACCGGAACGTGCGCGTCATGGATGCCAAAGGTGGGTGCAGGTGGAGCATCACAGACAGTGGAGGGGCGGACAACTGCTGGGCACAGACAGTCAGCAGGTGTCCGTTCGAGGGCAATAAGAGCACTTCACGAGGGGGGCACGGCTTGCCTCAACATGGTCAACATGGCGGTTAGCAAGAAGTCAGCATGTGCGACCAGCATCTGTGCGGAAAAGACTCCGCACCACGCAACATGTTGCACTGAGCATCAATGCGCCTTGTCTCAAGGCCATCTGTGGTTGTTTGAGGATGGCTGCCAGACCGATGAGCCCACGCGCATCCTGACGTGGGAGTGTTTGTATCGCCGGGCGCACGCTGCAGTCATGCAAAGCATAAGAACAAGATTGGAGCGCAGGGGCGGACTACATGACGGTTCACGTAGGCTGTCGATCCTGTTGCTATAAGAGCGTAGGCAGCGACGTGACGTCTGTAGCGTATACAGACGATCCTCAGTACGGCGCGCTCGGAACACGAGTGCAAGACTGTATATTCGTACCTGTAGTGTATGTTAACGACCAAGCGCGTCCGACCGATTCGCGTGTGCGCGCGCATGCATGATGCCGCGTTATTGCGTCAGGATCGGCGCGATGTTGATGCGCCCCTGGTGTCCCTGTACCTGTAACCTCATTCCCCTTTTCTTTGAACTTTCTCCCGAGATAGCAATCACTCACCTCGCGTAGCGACTGGCTATATACCCGGTGTTTCGTGGCACGGACTTCAGTTGTCGTTTGCACACCTACTGAAGTCCGATCGTTACCTCGTTAGATCTCTCGCTCGCCTCTTTAAGATTAGGTTAGGTTAGGTGGTGTTGGTGTCGACCTGCCTGCTGAAGGACTTGTGGCTGACTTGGATGACTTGGGTGGAATGGCGTCCACCCCCAAGTTTCGCCTATATTTATAGGCTCTTCAGATCCGCTTGGTCAGCTGAGTCGCACGTCGCGAGGAACGAGCGACCGGGGTGCAGTAAGGTGCGATGTCAGCAAGGACTCGACTGAGAAAGAACTTGCTATGGGAACTTGTAGAATGACACGCCTTCATTGGAGGGACGTGATACTTAGGGTTAATGGGACTGGGTAGGGAAGACTAGGTAGGGGATTCCACTAGGGAAAACCCTAGGGAAGGCCGTAGGAAAGGCCATAGGGAAGGCCGTAGGAAAGGTGTAGGAAAGGCTGTAGGAGAAATCATAAGAAAGGCTGTAGGAAAGGTGTAGGAAAGGCCGTAGGAAAGGCCGCAGGGAAAGCCGTAGGGAGAGTGTACAAAGAGCGAGTGTAGGGAAGACACAGGAAGAGGTGCAAGAAAGAGGGCAAGAAAAGGCCTAGGGGCCGCGCATGTACGTCCCGGACGCATAATGCCAGACTATGGATGGAAAGAGTCGGAGGCGGCTTTCTAACAAGTGTCGTTCGTGAGGGCATGCTTCCCGGACGCACACATTCTGCACTGGCCACTACTCTCAACTTACATGAGCCTTGCCCGTGAGGTTGTGCTTCCTGGACGCACGCATTCTGCACCGGCCACAACTTTTGACTTACATGAGCCTTGCTCGTGGGGGTGTGCTTCCCGGACGCACACATGGTGCACTGACCATGGGGGCACGTATAGATGTACTCTCACAAGGAATGGGCCAACGCTGTA